CAGAGAAAAGGTCTGGTAACTCACAGGCAGAGAAGCACATGAGGGGCGGGACCAGCCAGCTCAAAAATAACCAATCCGAAAAAGAAAAAAAAAAACAGAAATGCCGACTGTACCGCGCAACGCTGTAGTTTTTTTTAGCTGTAGTCAAAAATAGCGTCTGGCAACGGCGCAAACATCTTTCTTTAGAAGACAGACTCTTAGCGCTTCTACTTGTTGTGGTTTTAAAGACGTGTCCAAGTCATTTAGAACAGAGGAAAGAGCCGCAGCAAACTCCGCTTCAGTCGCCATGTTTGTGGCAAACTCGGCGTCGTGGTGTGTGATGCATGTTGCTCAGCGCTGATTGGCTCGGGTAGAATTCTCAGGGGGTGGGGTTATTTGAATAGGAGAGTTCCCAGACCCGTTCCCTGTCCAGACTTAAACAGAGGAGGAGGAGGAGTCTGGCAGGCCAGGCTAAGCAGGTCCCCCGAAATCTCTGAGTATTGAGAGAGAAATACCCTGTCCCCATTAGTGCTGAATGATATCAGCTGCTTTACAACTAATTGATGTTGCATAAAGGCTTTGCATTACCTGTAGCGGCGGCTCACAACCCAGGGAGAAGGTAGTGAGTCGGATACCAATTTTAGCCCCTTTTTACAAAGCAGCATTATGCATTTTCCCCCCATTCAACCAGCAAAATAAAGTTAAAGTCCCATAGTCATCATCACATGCTGGTGAAATTTATCCCCGTATGTGACCCATCCCTGTGGGGAGTGGAGAGCTGCAGCAGCGGCTGTGCTCGGGAACAATTTGGTAGTTTCCAAAGCACAGAAATATAATTTTACTTACTGATAAAAATGAAGCAGAGACTTCTTGGATGATCTTTTATTGCAATCAGTACCACAGCTTGCCCTCTTTGTCCAATAACTTCATGATTAACATTCAAAAGGAGGACACAACAAAAGTTCAGAGTCAAAATGAGACAGAGGCTGAGACCTTAACCAGAGTTAGCCGCTAGCACTAGCTCTGATGGCTCATGCTACCTGTCAATCAAACTCTATTCATAATTTCAGGCTTTATTTACACCTAAATGGAAGAGTTGCAAAAAAATTCACCTCTCTCAGAGTTGCTATGACTATAAACTAGACCTATTAAACCTAACCTTGCTCCTTTCAGGTGCCAGCCCCTAGTGAATGAAGGTGGAATTGTGATTTTTGTCACTTCTTTGATGGCTTCAGGTCTGGGAGCACTGGGTTCCCGTTTGGTTTACATACAGTGTCTGCTTCACTCCCCCAGTGTTTAGTGTTTGTTTGCTAATTTTGTGCTGCTATTGACCCTTTGCACCGACATCACCTAATCACGTGAGCCCACCATGGTGGATGGCAAAAGCATGTAAACAGTGAGCAACACAAGCACTAAACAAAGGGAAAAGTAGAGCCTGAAATTGTTTTTGCGACCAAAACAAAATCTAAACTCCTCCAGCATTCCTTCAACTAGTTCATGCCCAGTTCAGTTATCAGAAGAAGTAGCGCATCTAGCCGTGGCTCATAGAGAGCGGTATGCTAACTAGCTTACCAACGTTAGCTTACCTTCTCTCTGCAGCTGTTCACCGATGTAAACATGCTGCTGACTTTGCCCAAATTCACCCCGCTGGATTTATAACATTATGTTATAAATAGTGTTTCACTTTACACCAACGGTGATTTTTAAAAAGTCCGGATCTCTACCAGCTTCTGTTGCTGGTGGTGTTACCGGGTTCAGCTGCTGCTCTCACACCGGAATGAGAAGATCTCTGAACGGCGACGCTCATATAAATAAATAACGTAATTTTAACACACGTAATCATACACTGGAGCTTTAATATTGTTAATAATTATCTCACTTTAAACTACAGTGGACGGCGCGCAGTCTCTGGTGAAATACCCATCCATCAGGATTATCAATAACTAGTATAAACACATCACATTTATCCCTGTCCCCGTCTTCCTCGTGAAATAAATGAATGTTAATCTTACCCGGTAAAAACATGTTCGCTGCAAATCTGAGGGCTGCTAGTCCGCTTGATTGATCGCTGCAGTTCATCTCTGTCCTCAGTCTCCATCAAAGTTATTAAAAAACAAAACGAGTTGAGTTTACGTCCTTGTCTGTTAGTTCAGCCAGCCACGCAGCAAGCTAAAACCATTTTACTGTCAAATCAATTAAATAAAAGTGATAAAAGGCTACAAACTGGCTTGTTTTGACTAGCTTCACTGGAGTTTCAATGGGTGTAAATGGTCTTTTTGCCATCCATGTTTCGAAGGGGGTGGTCACATGAGTGGCGTGACGTCATGTGCAAAAGGTCAATAGGCTAACCAAAAGAAGATTGACACAAAGGGGTGCATATCGCCACCTACTGTAGCGCAGTGGAACACGTTTTTTTTTATCGGACATGTAAATTGGGATAAAGCCTCCTAGTTCCACCTTGATTATTGCTGTAGCTTGACTTAGATGCACATGCACTCCCTGGTTTTGTAAGAACTTCTACTTGTAAAAAGAAAGATGTCTGGTTTTTAAACCTCAGATTCACTAAGTTGCTGCTCCTTCTCAACATAAGGAGTCAGCTGAGGTATTTTGACCAGAACTTGCTGATAAGGTTATTTGTATCCTTTTTAGGAATGTCTTGGAATCTCTCAGGAGGAGCTGAAGAGTGCTGATGGGGAGAATTTTACATGATTATTGCAGTCACAGTTTGTACGATGAGTAACACACAGAAAAGGCTATTTATTCAGTAGAAGGCATAACATGTGGTGCTTCAGTAAGGATTTATAATGCGCACCAAAAAGCAGTTATAATGTTTAGTTTTGAATTTAAAACAAATGTTACTCAGGGTTAAAAAAACAGCAAACAAAATGCATGAAGTGTTGGATACAGGAAAATGTTTGAATTGTGACTAAATGAAACAAATAATGGGAAGACTTGACAAAACTGAAGAATCAGTCATGGAAATGATCAATATTCAGAGTACAACAGAGGTTTAGAGGTGTTTACCCTTTAAAGTTAATTAGTCAAAAAGTGCTGGGAGGTGAGTTTGACTTAAGTCAGAGACAGGGAGTGCCAGCAACATAATTCAATGAGTAACTTCTGAAGGGAGTTACACCCACTAAATAAACTACTGACACCACACACGCACACACACACACACACACACACACACACACACACACACACACACACACACACACACACACACACACACACACACACACACACACACACACACACACACACACACTAATTACACTTATTAGCCCTCTGATGCATGAATTATGAGATCTTCAACCATGTTTTTTTTTAATTTCATTCATCTTTAGATGTGAATGAAACAAATTTCAACAAATATTTCTTGTAACATTTAATAATTTACAAATTATGTATTACATGTCCACCTCGGTGGACAGCGTGCATTCTGAACATGTTGGCTTGACTTACTGAAGTCCAAATGGAGGGGCTCACATGCAACAAAGTCTTCAACAGCTGTGCTTAATAGCAAAAATAAAGAAATAACAATTTTGAGTACCTGTCCACTGTAGTGACCATTATGCATCAAAGGGTTAGACAACATGGGAATCAGTGCAATGGTAAAAAGTAGTGATGTGCAATGATTTTGTCAGCCTGCTAAAATAAATATTATCGTTTCTTATGCAGGATAAAAATGTATTTATTTGTGACATCAGTATTTTTCCTGATTGCTCAGTAAAACTGTGATTAATTTATTGTTACATGCCACTACATTTCACTTGTTTTTTTATTTTAAGTCTTTGCATTTAATAGAAATAGTACATTTGTTTTAGGTTATCCCAACTACGTTTTATTTTGTTAATGAATCTTTTTTTTAAAACAAATACTCATTCATATCAAATTTGTAGGTCTTACACATTGAACATTGTGAGGCTGAAAATTGAAACAACTGAAGACAAACAACAAATATGTTACATCAATATTTATGAGGCTCATTAATTGTTTTTTATAATAGAGAAAAATAATTGGGGAAAAAATAACTGATAATGTTTTAGAATCAAGTCTAAATGTGTCCGTGTGCAGGAGGAACCCAGACAGCAACATTAATAAATTATACATGGTTCACACAAGCCTGCTGTTAAAGAGACACCAGTGTTATGTGAAATCACTTCATCCTGCTTTTATTTTGGAAGCATGTTTCTGCTTTGCAGCACTGTGAATTTGCTTTTTCATGAAACAGGAGCGCCTGAGCTTTTTTCCTTCAGAGATGGACTCAAACTTTAACATTTGTATTTGTGTTAGACATGCTTTAATGTATAAAGTTGTTTTCATCGTTATAGAATACAAAAAAAAAAACTTTTCAAACATTAAAATATTCTGCATTCCCTAAAGATGATATTTATTATTTGGATCACAATCTTCTTAATATTGTACCAAGATTTTATTATTTAGAGAGATTTGGTATCAATTAAAAATATATATTTATTTTTAAAGAAAAATAATTAAAACTTATTTTAATTAATTCTTCAAAAAGGGTGTTTTTTTTAAACGTGACTTTCCTGTAATCCGAAATAGCTGGAGGAAATAAACATTTCACAACAATAAAACTGTTGACAAGACAATTTTTTAAATGTTACTTTACCAATCGGCGCCCCATAGAGGTGTACATAGCTGTTACTATTAAGGACTTTTAAGCACTAGTGTGGATTTATTTTGAATATGGATGTTATCGGATGGTAAAGCAGCCATGTGGAGACCGGCTCGTGATGAGGAACCGCCTCATCTGTGTTGGACCATCGGAACCGGTGAGCTGAATCTCACCCTGATCTGGACTCGGAGTCAGCTGTTCAGAAGAGACCATTAAGTACAGACCTTTGGATTTCTCGGTCACGTGACTCGGTTTCTACAACCTGCCTTCTCTCCTACAGCCGGCCGGCCGCTCTCACCATTGACCAAAACAAAACCCAATCTAAAACAGAAACAGGTAAATTTTATTTCAGCTGCAGACTTCGTAGTTTTAGTTGGTAGACAGCGAGCCCCCGTCTCGTTCCCCTGAACCAAGAGGAAGCGAAAGCTCGGGGAGTGACGGCAGGGCCTTTCCCCCCCTACCCCTCGAATCTCCTTCGGTCTGCTCTTGTCCGCTAAGCGGCCGCTTCTGCGTACTTTTAGCGACATTATTCCCAGACCGAAAGCGATTCTGGATTCTGGGTATAGGAAAATGCGCGAGAAGAGCGATAATAAAGCAAGGTGGGTGGGTGGATGGGGGTTCGGATGGGATTTGAGAGGCTTACAGTCAGCAGAGTGCTGTGCACGGGACTGCCACCTAATCCCCGTGACAGGGATGGGCGGTGCAACCCGGCTCAACCTGACCTCTGCAACACTCAGGGAGGAGGCAGCCTCTTCCTGGATGGCAAACACATTTTCTGCCTCTATGCTTTGAGTTCCGCTTGCTTACATGAGGTAGTGCTCATTATGTATCTCACCTGCTTTAAGCCCCTCCCCAGAGCTGTCACTTATTTATTTGTTGTTGTTGTGGTTGCAGGATGGAAGATGCACCCATGTCATGTGATTGTTTTGTGTCCTTGCCTCCGGGCTCTCGGGACAACCATGTAATATTTGGGAAGAACTCTGACCGGCCCCGGGAGGAGGTGCAGGAGGTGGCCTACTACCCTGCAGCATCTCATCCTTCAGGTTCCCTGTTGGAGGTAAAGTATCTCCAGGACCTCTCTGGCAGTCCCAATTCACCTCCACCTGCTGAAACCCAGTGGTGCGCCCAGAAAAGATTCATAGAGGGGGCCAGGGAACATTTTGGGGTGGCTCACTAAATGAGAGGGTGCTCGCTGCAGAACCACAAAGGCGGAGCTGCACCAGAGTCAGCCCCGCCCACTCACACAAACATAGCCCACTGACTTCTTCTGTTTGTGTGTTCTTATTTTTTATTTTATCGCAAACTAACCTGACCCACATGAATTACGGTTGTTACTAGTTTACAAATGTTAATGCTATGTTCTATGCTCCAATTCAGCAAGATAAATATAACTTGCTACATGACAAAGCCTGAATATATCCCAAAACGAAAAGGTTTCTTACAGTAAATATCTGCCCACATTGACTCTAACAGAACCGGGCTACAACAGCATTTAAAGACAAGTGCTCAGTGAGCTCTGGTAGTCTAGTGGCAAGGTCGTCGAGGTTGAGTTTTGCTTTCCCCTCTTCTGATGCTGGTTCGACTCTCGGTGGGCTCGGCAGCAATCTATTTAGCCAGCTGAAACATTTAATTTGTTTATATTTTAGTTGTAATGTTTATTTTCTGCAAAATATTTATGTCTCTAAAAGTTCTTTGAATTTGGTTGTTCCTAAACAGCATTTTAGTTGAAACTCTGCTCACAAATGGACTCACACTGGCTAAATAAACGAATAAAAAAAAACACATTAGTCATTATATTTTAAATGGTATACCAATAAATGGTTAAAAACATAGTACTGGCAAGTGTGGCTAGAAAAGAAGAAAAAAGTTTGCGCTGCCACTGGGAGGCGAATTTGCACAATGTTACATGCCAAGCTAACTGCATAACCACTTCACCACTACATCTGATAACAAGCTAGTGGCGTCACATGTAATTGTGCCATCCAGTGTGTTTTTGTAGATGGGGATGTATAGTTTTTCGGCTGTGTCTCAGTAGAAGTCATTTCAGAAATAATTTGTCAGAAAATTCACAATCTATCCAGATTTGAGAACCCGCTTTGGAGGAGAGGACCAAATTGAAGCTGAGATGGGAGGAAAATGTGTGAATGAGGCCAAAAATGGCTTTGGCATATTTCTTATGAGGAAATGACAATATAACATGGTAAAAAGTTCCAAAAGTTAGATTTTTAATTAAATGGAACCTTTACAAAAATGGTTCAATTAACCTCTCAACTCCGTCCTCAATCTTGCATTTTAGATGATATTAGCTATAACACCCTCTTTGGTTCCAGAATGCTATTAAGTCTGACAACTGGAAGGAATTGGACTGACTCTGACGGAATGGGCGGGGCTGACTCTGGTGCAGCTCCACCTTCTGGTGCAGCTCCGCCTTTGTGGACTCTGATGGAATGGGCGGGGCTGACTCTGGTGCAGCTCCACCTTCTGGTGCATCTCCGCCTTTGTGGTTCTGCAGCGAGCACCACTTGCAATAAATTGGTTCCTGTAACTGGGAGAGTGGCTATTCAGTGCTTTGCCCCTTCAACAACCCCCACACAGCGAGGAGATAGGTTTTGCTCTCGGTTCTGCAAATGGACACTAGGGGGTGCTAAAATCAAGCCTAAACTCCCTAGTTCCCCTTAAAAATCAGGTGTGTTGAAACAGGGAAACAACTAAAGCATACTGGATGCCAACCAAGTGCGGGACTTCGACTAAAATATGACTTTAGCTCCAACTATTTGGACAAAAGTGCCCATAGGTGGCAACGAGTGTAAGTGCTGTTATTAAGTGCAGTAGTTCCATTTTTTCCCCTCCACAGTGCACATACATCCAGATCCCTCAGGTGGAGCAGACCCACGCCATCATCCTCAGTAAACCGGCCTGGATGTGGGGCGCAGAAATGGGAGCTAATGACCAAGGAGTGTGTATTGGTAATGAGGCGGTCTGGACCCGAGAGCCCGTGGCCCCTGGAGAGGCCCTGCTGGGGATGGACCTTGTCCGGTGAGCAGCAAAAGTTTAGCGATCTAGTTTGGATTTGGAACGCTCAGTAGACTTGATCCTCTCAGACTTTGATCCGAGCGGTGTGTGGATTGTCATCGGCATGTTCTGACAGGTGTTAAAAAGCACCTTATCAGTTCATCGCTGTGGTGGAATAGGCTCAATTAGCTTGGAGAGCTGCCAAGTCTTTGAGAAGCCAGCCAACTTCCTCCCAAACAAACAGCACGTAAACACCTTCATGGTTTGTGGAAAACCACCTGATCGGTGAGCAGATAAGCAGCGTGAGTTTCCGTCTGCAGGCTGGGGCTGGAGCGTGGCAGCAGCGCCTGGGCAGCGCTGACGGTGATCACCGGCCTCCTGGAGCAGCACGGCCAGGGGGGGCAGTGCAGGGAGGACCCCGAACCCTTCAGCTATCACAACACCTTCCTCCTGGTGGACCGAAACGAAGCCTGGGTGCTGGAAACGGCCGGAAGGCTGTGGGTGGCACAGAAAGTCTCAGGTTTGTCTAAAAGTTTAATTAACATGTCCAAAAATCCCTTTTTTAATTCATGTTTTGCTTCTATGTGTGCTCATGTGAGCAACAGATTGGACACTGTTTCACTCTGACCATTTATCTTTTTTTGAGAAGCTGCACATTAGAGGTCATCCGATGTTGGTTTTTCTAGTCCCGATACTGATGTCGATATGTAGAGGACATGGTCAGCCGATGGCTGATATGTACTCCAAGTTTTTATAGGCCAATTTTCATGGCTCATATCTAGACATTTTCCACCTTATTTTCATGCTAAAATATCACTAATTGCATGAATTGATGCACAAATGCTGAGTTTTTCTTATGCAGATGTCATTAGTCAATGTAAAAATGTGCATTTAAATTAAATTCTGCAACGGCATCGGGCTGCCTGAGGATGTGCCTGACTTTAAATCGGCCTTGCTAAAGACAAATATCAGCCAATGTATAAAGAATGATAAATATCGGCCCTTTTGCAGAGTTTTTTGAAAAACTATTAAAACAAAATACTCTTTTGTGTGCCATACTACATTATATTTGGTATATTTTGTAACAAAAAGTAATTTGTTTGTTTGCCAAGTTGTGTTTTTGTGGCATCACAGCACTGGCTCATCCCCTGAGTTTAGTTTTAGGCCTGAATGATTCATAGGTCAGAAAACAAACACTTATCTGATGAAATTCAGGGATGAGGACAGAGACTGAGTGAAAAAGCAGTTAAAGTTCAAAGAAAACCTAAAAGGACTTTCAGAAAGACAATAGATTTGCGTCAGGGTTGCAGCTCCTAGGCTGAACAGCAAATGTGTGTTTGCTTTTTCAGAGGGTGTGAAAAACATCTCCAACCAGCTGACCATCAGCACCGAGATCTCAGCAGAACACCCGGACCTGCGGAGCATGGCCCAGGCTCAGGGATGGTGGGACGGCCAAGGGGAGTTTAACTTCTCTCAGGTGTTTAACCCCGAGAACCCTCCTGCCAGGATGGAGCTGGCTAAACGGCGCTACAGAGGAGGCACAGAACTGCTTCAACAGCACAACGGTACATTTCATACAAAATCTTTAGACATAGGTGGACTTTTTGTCCACTGAGAGGTGTTTTTTTTAATGTAAACCTGCAGAAACACTCATCCAGTCTGTGTTCCTCAGGCTCAGTGACGGCTGAGGTGATGATGTCCATTCTGAGGGATAAACCCAGTGGGATCTGCATGGATTCTGGAGGATTCTGCACCACCGGCAGCATGGTTTCTGTCCTACCCAAAGACACCAGCCTGCCCTGCATCCACTTCTTCACTGCCACTCCAGACCCATCCAGGTTTGCCCCAAAAAATATAAGAATGCTGCAGAAACCTGTGTTACAACAGCACCTGTGTAGGAGACGGACACGGAGACGATTATCTGCAGCTAAACTATATAAAGAAAAGCTGAAGCACCTAGGAAGGTGACATCAATAGAAGAAGCGCATCCACCATCAGGGATGAATAAGATGTTTGTTAAAATATGAGTTTACTGGTCTCCTGAGCTTTTATTTAGTGTGTATTAGAATAAAACCTACCAAAATAACATGAGTAGGGCTGTTTAAATACTTAACAAACATTTTAAAGATCTAATAAATAGAAAGTTCACAGTTTCCCTAAATTGAAGAAGAGGAAATCAAAATTTAAGAGTTTTCCTGAACTATAGTTACAGATTATATATATATAATCTTTTTATCCACTGAGGATATACCCGGCCCGGAGGGTTACCGGGGTCCCACTCTGGAGCCAGGCCTGGGGTTGGGGCCCTTGAGTGAGCGCCTGGTGGCCGGGATTTCGCCCGTGGGGCCCACCAAGCCCAGCCCGAACCAGATACATGGTCTCATCCAACTGTGGACCCACCACCCGCAGGAGGAACATGAAGGGTCCAGTGCAGTGTGGATCGGGTGGCAGACCGAGGCGGGAGCCTTGGTGGTCCGATCCCCGGACAAGGAAACTGGTTATTGGGACATGGAACGTCACCTCGCTGGCGGGGAAGGAGCAGGAGCTTGTGGCAGAGGTTGAGCGGTACCGGCTAGATATAGTCGGACTCACCTCGATACATAGCATTGGCTCTGGAACCCAAGTCCTTGAGAGGGGTTGGACACTCTCCTTTGCTGGAGTTGCTCCGGGTGAGAGGCGTAGGGCTGGGGTTGACTTTTTGTTAGCCCCAAGACTCTCTGCCTATGTGTTGGGGTTTACCCCGGGGGACGAGAGGGTAGCTTCCCTGCGCCTTCGGGTCGGGGAACGGGTCCTGACTGTTGTTTGTGCTTATGGGCCAAATATCAGTTCAGAGTACCCACCCTTTTTGGAGTTCCTGGGACGAGTGCTAGATAGTGCTCCATCAGGGGACTCCATTGTCCTGCTGGGGGACTTCAATGCTCACGTGGGCAATGACAGCTTGACATGGAGGGGTGTGATTGGGAGGAACGGCCCACCTAATCTGAACTCGAGTGGTGTTTCGTTATAGGACTTCTGTGCAAGCCGCAGTTTGGCCATAACGAACACCATGTTCGAACATAAGGATGCCCATCGGTACACTTGGTACCAGGGCAGCCTAGGTCGCAGGTCGATGATAGACTTGTAGTCGTATCATCTGACCTGCGGCTGTATGTTTTGGACACCCGAGTGAAGAGAGGAGCGGAGCTGTCAACTGATCACCGCCTGGTGGTGAGTTGGATCAGATGGCAGGGGAAGATGCCGCGTAGACCTGGCAGACCCAAACGCTTAGTGAGGGTCTGCTGAGAATGCCTGGCAGAAGAACCTGTCAAGACGGTCTTCAACTCCTGCCTCCGAGTGGGCCTTGTTCCACTCTGTGATTGTTTAGGCGGCTGTTGCTAGCTGTGGTCGCAAGGTGGCCGGTGCCAATCGTGGTGGCAACCCCCGTACCCGCTGGTGGACACCAGAGGTTCGAGGAGCCGTCAGGCTGAAGAAGAAGGCCTACAGGGCGTGGCTGGTCTGTGGGTCTCCGGGGGCAGCAGACGGTTGCCGGATAGCCAAGCGGGGTGCAGCAGTGGCAGTTGCCGAGGCAAAATCTCGGGCGTGGGAGGAGTTTGGTGAGGCCATGGAGAAAGACTATTGATCAGCGCCAAAGAGGTTCTGGCAAACTGTCTGGCGCCTCAGGAGAGGAAGGCAGCAACTCGCTCACACTGTTTACAGTGGGAATGGGGAGCTGCTGACGTCAACTGGGGCTATAGTCGGATGGTGGAAGGAATACTTTGAGGAGCTCCTCAATCCCACCTACGCGCATTCCGAGGAGGAACCAGAGCCGGGAGACCTTGGGATGGACTTTCCAATCTCGGGGGCAGAAGTTGCTGAGGTAGTCAAACAACTACACAGCGGCGGAGCCCTGGGGGCGGATGAGATTCGTCCTGGGTATCTCAAGGCTATGGATGTTGTAGGGCTGTCGTGGTTGACACGTCTCTACAACATTGTGTGGTCATCGGGGGCAGTTCCTGTGGAGTGGCAGACCGGGGTGGTGGTCCCCATCTTTTAGAAGGGTGACCTGAGGGTGTGTTCCAACTATAGGGGGATCACACTCCTCAGCCTCCCTGGAAAGGTCTACTCCAAGGTACTGGAGAGGAGGGTCCGATCGATAGTTGAATCTCAGATTGAGGAGGAGCAATGTGGTTTTCATCCTGGCCGTGGAACTGTGGACCAGCTCTATACCCTTGCAAGAGTGATGGAGGGGGCATGGGAGTTTGCCCAACCAATCCACATGTGTTTTGTGGATTTGGAGAAGGCTTATGACCGTGTCCCCAGGGGCACCCTGTGGGGGACGCTTCAGGAGTATGGGGTGGGTGGCCTTTTATTAAGGGCCATTCAGTCCATTTTATATATACAGTGTGTGTGTATATATATATATATATATATATATATATATATATATATATATATATATATATATATATATATATGTATATTTATATATATATGTATATGTATATATATATGGATGGATGGATGGATGGGTGGGTGGGTGGATGGATGGATGTCCTCTCGAAATATAAGTTAATAAATAAATAAATAAAAATATATAATTACATATTAACTTAATGAAGTACACAAATAATTATTTTATATAAAACTGTAGAAAGTAAATATTTAAACTACTTTTTACTTGTAATGAATTTTATAAGCCAACTGCCTAAAAAAACGCATTTTCTACATTTATTTCAGTGTTTTTGAACCGAGTTGCAGGATTTTAAACTAAAATATTGATCAATTAGAAAACTGGTGTGCTTATGTTTTCTACCGGGTGATACGTAGAAGTAATTATGCTTTTTACTAACTAGAACCATGAACGAGTCACACCTGGGTCAATTCTGCTGTGGAAATCATTGTTTATTGTGCATTGTTTATGCTGAATGTGGATTTTTGCTTTTCACCAATCTTTAGATCAATAAAATGATCAAAAGTTGAACAGAAAAGGTGAAACAACTCTTTTACCGACTGGTTTTGTTAATTTTCCTGCTGCCTTCACTCATTTCCACTCAAATTTTGGAGATTTTTCTGCAAGAATCTTTGAGGCACACTTAAATTCTCACATGCATATCCTCCAGAGAGTTCCAGGAACTTATTTTGAGACTCCCGTATTCTTTTGCTTTCTGTATCACTGGATTTTCCCCTCCAACCCCCACCTTTAGGTCTATATTCAAGCCTTTTATATTCTCGGATGGCTCCACCCTGGTGCAGAGGGTAGTCTCCCCACAGTTTGGACCAGACGACCCCGTCAGGAAGCAGCCTCGCTTTCAGAGCCGCGTGGACCGCAGACATGATCTGTACAAGGCCCACCAGGCAGCGCGCATCGCCATGGAAACCAAACCGGTGGGTGCTGATGGAGGATAGAGATATGGTATGTTCGGACGGTTTACAGCAGATGGATGAAAAGGACTCTGCTGAACTCTTGAGTCATTTGTTTATTTATTTTTTCCTTCAAAATAGCCAAACTTTCTTGTAAAAACTTAAACCCTTGACCGTCACAGGCCATGTGATGTTTATACACAAAATTCAATCATATTTATTTATTTCACCTATAATACAAACTTAATTATGTATTCTTACTGCAATTAACATCATAATAAATTATTATTATTATTATAACCCCTTTTCTAAAGTGGCTTTGATCCATACTTCTCCAAACTTTCAGAAGGTCTTTTGAAGTTTTTCTTTACCGTTTTACCACCTGTTTTCATTCAAAATACCAAAGATATCACAGTTTGATGAACAGATGTGTTTTATGATGCAAAAACATTCAAAATAAACTTTAAAAGACCTTCAGAAAGCAAGAAGATGACCTGAACTTGGGCTCTTGGCAGGCACAATAAAAACAAACGAGTGCTGCATCAAGACTTTTCACAGTAAAGTGTAAATAATTCACAGCAATCACAAACAGAGACGCACACTGTCGGTGCAGACAGGATGCATCCGTTCAGACTAAATATAAACACACTAAAACCAAACATCAGGTTCCAAACTCGGCCACCAAAGTACTTGTAAACGAGTAGAAATGTTCATTTCAGGCCTTTTAGCTGATGTCCTGTCTGGGATTATGTGTGTAATTACAAGATGGACTGCAGCTGCAGACAAGTAGTGTCCTATTTATACTCAGATTAGATGCTGCAGCGAGGCTGCTTCTGCAGAAACCTCAGAGCATTTCATCAAGCGTGACTTCAGACATCCATTTAAAAGTCCAAAAGTGTAAATGCAGTGAAGTCAGTAGAGAGAAGTGGTGAAAGTCCACATTAGTGCAGGCATTTTACAAAACAAACACCTCTTATCTGCATGGAGACAAGAGTTTTTTTAAATACTTTATAATAAAAATATATTTATTAAATAATTGTTTTTATGCTGGCTGAGATACAGAAACCTTAAATTACCTGATTCCATGTTTAATTCCTACTCTTTAGTTGTTTTTCTAATTTCTAATTTTTTCCCATTTACACAAAGAAGTTCACAAATTTTTATAAACATGTAGATAAAAGCACTTGAGAGGTGATGCCATGCTGTGTTCAGAAGGAAATGTGTCAGCTGATTTTCTGGTGGCAGAAACAGGTGTGTGTTTAACAGCAGGTGTGGGACTGCTGGTGTTATTAAGACTGCATTTCCAACCACAGACGTCTGGCTGAATTAGATTAAAGACTGTGTTCAAAGTGCCAGCAGCTGATTTTTATGTCTTATTTAAAAAATAGCAAAAAATAGATAGATTATTGTAAATTATGAATTTGGAACATGTGTGAAACACTTTTAATCATTTATTTATACTAAAAGCATCCAAGTTATGTTCAATTATGGATCAGAACAAGAACAGGAAACTAAAAAAGCTCTTCAGATCAGATCTGCTCCTCTGATGTTTTACTTTAAGTTGCAGGAGGTTTTAGTACCTGATCTGACTCAGCTGGTACCTGAATGTCTGTGTGTTTGTGTATCTATGACAGGATGAAGCTTTAGTGGTCTACGACATCCTGAGGGACCTGGAGCTGCAGTGTCTGAGTGAGATTTCAGCCATGCTCAGTGGAGACATCCCAGGAGAAGAACTGGGGGACCTGTTCTTTGACTGCGTGGACACAGAGATTAAATTCTACCAGTGAGAAGGTGGGGGGCATCAGCAGATCTGTTTGTACAAATCCAGGAAATTAGACATATTTTAATTTGTAAGCTTTTAAATATTTATGCTTAAAAATAGTCTGAAAGCAGAAAAATGGGTAAATACAGCTTCATTTCCATCATGTAATAAGACAAGTATCAAACCTGCAGCTGCTGCTCCGATGTGTTAACTGATCATCACTAGTGTGATCTCCTCTGCTAAAGCAGGAGTTGTGTTAGTTTGTTGGTCTGGAGCATACAGGTGTGTGTTAACACAAGGAGGAAATACAAAGGCAGTGACCTTAATGCAACCCATCAGTCTGGAAAGTGTCAAAGGTCATTGTCAAACTCTTTAGACTCTTATTCTACAAAGATAACGATTGTTCATGTGAGGGTTCACTGCATGTTAGAAGTCAAAACAAACAAACAAAAAACAAACAGGAGTTTCTTATCAGACTTTATAGGCTTCATTTAGCAGGTCAAAGGTTAAAGTTCGTTACGGGACATTTGGAGGAGGACAGAATGACTTTGGCGAAAACCTCTGACCAAAAGCAACATGTCAGCATGTCTTCACTGAACCACAAGACTTCTGGAACGCCAATGGATGAAACCAATGTGAAGATGTTTACCCACATTAGGGCTGGGTGATATGGCCTCAAATCTATATTGCGATATAATCTGAAGCATGTGCGGTAACGATATATATTGTGATTTATTTTTTCCTCTGTTTATATATGTCAAAATTACATGCTTTTAAATATCTTCATGTGGCAAATATATGCCACTTGAGGCATATAGGCCTCCTCCTCCACCCACTCCATGGTTGCAGTCACTGCCATTCTGTTGCCCCAATGTCAGCAGGGTGTACATCTTAGTGACGTCATGTGTGATCGTGATATCGCGGTATTGCGATAAAGCCAAAAACTCTATCATTACCCAATTTTATATCATTTCTGCCTTATATCGTTTATATTGCCCACCCCTAACCCACATCAGCACAAACAGCTGATACCAGCTGTCGGCATGGTGGTGGAGAGATGGTGGTTTGGGTCCTTTGCAGTCATTGAGTCAATCATGAACTCTTCTGGATACTAAAGAACTGAAAAAGAGCAGCAAACTCACAAAGGACTGGAAAACAAAAGACTCAAGGTGCTGCAATGATTCAAAACCAAACAGAAGGTTGTATCTCAGAGTTCTGGTTGCTAAAGGAGGTTCTACGAGCCGTTGGAACATTAGACAGTGAAACGCTAGGATCTGAAAATCCTGACAGATCTATGTCACACTGTCTCCTAACATTCATGGACTCACCCATTATGGCTCATGATAGGAAAAGCTGTTGCTGGTTTATCATCCAGAAAACAACAGAGAACATCTCAGCTAGTAGAAGCTAATCGTTAGCCTTAGCAACTCCATCACACAGCAGAACTCCTTCAAGCTTATGTTAATTGTGGGGATAAAACATCAAAGTGGTAGAGTCACGGTGCTGTTATCCAATAAAATGTGAGATATCCAAGAATAAAAAAATAAGACTTCAAATCCTGCCGTCTGAAGCTCAGTTTTGATGTGGCTCACTTCTAGTTCCTGAAAATGGTGCACCAGAGCTTTGTTTCTTCACAGTGCGACTTACAAGGCATTCATTCTTACTAGAGACCACTGTAAATGTTTTGATTGAACAAGTGATCAACAACTTTAAACTTCAAAACTCTTCAGCTAAAGAATGCTCATCTTCAGCTCAGGTTTTAAGCTATTTCTTTTGTTTAACAGCTGCTAAATTTTTAAATTCATCTAGTTGCTTTTAAGTTTTGCACAAAATGCACTTCAAAATATAATAGAATATTTATTTGGGAAAGCAGGATAGCAAAAATTGATTGATTTCTCTTCTGCTGGGACACAATTCATGTGCTGTTTATGTCTTTTGTTACAGCACCCTCAGGTGGACACCTCCAGCATTCAGTGTGTCAGGAGAAGGACCATTAAAAGCTCCAGTGTTTTTCATCTTCTGATTGGCCTCCACGTCACTTATGCAACACACATCTCTGACCCATTCCATCATTAACACAGACCAAATGTCTCAGCTGCACATGTGATCGTTGCATATTATCATCAGTATCCTCCAGGGAGCAAAGACTGCACCTCATTAGTGAGTAAACCAATGTAGACCACACAGGCACTACGTAGAGCTGTGTGGAGTTGCACAGAAAAAAAAAACTGAGTATGGCGCTTGTTTGTGTGTGGTTGCAGACAAGTGGGTTGTCATTTAGTTTGATGGCCACCCATAGGGAAAGATATAATAAAGAACGTGTATAGATTCCTTTGAGAGTTGTTTGTTTATTTATGACATATGCTGGGACCAATGTCAAAGCACCAGAGGTGAGATATTATGTTATTATTATTATTGTTATTATTATTATTATTAATAAAACAAAAAGACAGATTTAGAAACTGTCAAAAAGATTAAAGGTATGTTTTAGTTTAGAAAAATTAAAGGCATTTTTATTTAAATGGGTGATTATTGTTACAGTGGTTCAAACACATTCAAACATATCTCTCAGAATTACAAAAGAAACACATAAAAAAGTGTTAGTGAGTTTTAATAAGGCGAACAACAGTAAAGTCTCCCTTGAAGAAAACGTTAAAATTACTAACACTGATGAATTTTATTTTGAGTGTTCTGATCGAATTTTTTTATTATTATTTACTTATAGATTGTTTTTGACTGTATGTATTAGTAGAGAAATAGATTTGCATGTTGTTTTAAGCAAATTCCTTTTTATTTAGCTTTTATTATGTATCATTCTGCTTAATACTGCATTATTCGTATTTAGATTTTCTAATGTAAAGCAAATATTGCCCCAGGTTTAAATAAAATTCTAGTGAATGGAAAATAGTAAATAAACGGATATCAATCATAGATGCACTCCCAAATGGATTGTTTAAACACTGCTGTTTACTAAGTTATTCGATTTAGAGAAAAGAATTTACTAAATCATCAAACAATCCCACGTTTCCCCTTTACTTAAACAATTAGTTTATTAATTTCATGTTTAAAGGTAGTCAAGCCAAGCAAGAATTTTTTGTAAATTTCTGTTTTTCTTCTTTTAAACGTATTATTGTTGTTGTTGCGCATTTGCTGAATTTGCCAAACAGGTACATTGCAAATGTTTTAGGATACAGGCGAGACCCTTTTGGGTCTAAAAACTGCTGATTCCTTGTCACACGCCAGGGGGCGGTGGAGGTGCCAGAGAGCCTAGGAGTTGTCGCAACAGAAGAAAAAGAAAAAAGCTGATTACGCTCATTACGCTCTTTCCGGTAGATTTCAACATCGCGCCATCCGTCGATGATTTGATAAACAACAGCTTCTCGACTCTGAAAGTTCTTTATTTTTTTATTTAGTTCACCTTTGGTGTTAGTTTATAAACGCCTAAACATGGCCGACAAGATGAGCATGTCCCTAGATGACATTATCAGGATGAACAAGAGAGAAGGCCGCGGTGGAGGAGGATCCAGGCGGGGAGGAAGTTCAGGTCGATCCGGGGGATCGTCGAGGCCACCGGCGCGAGGTCGCCAGAATTTTAACCGGGAAAGGAACAGCAGGCCCGCTCCGTACACCAGGGTAAGAAACAAAAAGCAAAAATTAACCAGACCCACGCTCAACGGAAACGGATCAAGAGAGCGCGCAGAGGACGTAGATGGGGCTTTAAAGGCTCCAATTACAAACATTTAATTCACACAGCTGGTTTTGTAATCACCGTTTAGATCTTCTTGTCTTTCTGTTACAAACTTGTGAGCAAATGTCTGCTATATTTAGCTTTTTGAACATTTGGAGAAACAGGTTAGGTTGGATTAGACCAGATTGACACGCTAATAGCTAGCCCGTGGCTAGTTCCAAGCTGTTTCTGTTGTCCTAAAATAGCTAACCTAAGCTAGGTCAAGACAGTTCACACAAATACAACTTAGGATCGGATGATTTTCTACAGAAACTTTTCTCTTTACTTAAAGGAACTCTAAACTCTATAAATAAGGTTGATTTTCAGTTAAAAACTAGCTACAACATGTGTAAGATAAGAAAACCGTGCATGATTATTGGAGGTAAGGTTGGAGGTATAACTTGGTTTTAAAGAGATCTGGCATTAGATTTAAAGAGTCAGGTGCACTTAAAGGCATTTTATTTCACGTTGTAAGGTTGTGAAGCTAAGTAAAAATTCAGCTCTTAAAATCTACACTTAATTCATTCTGACAGGTAACATTTGTAATTTAGAGGCCATAAAGTGGTGCCAACAAGTCTGATGCTTCTCCTGCATGCCGTGGATCTGTTTCTGTCAGGGCAGATGGCTCCGCTGATGATGTGTCGTTCATTACCTGACCCATCTGAACTCAGCCTATTGTTTACTCTGTTGTTCATGTGTGTGCGAGTGTCTGGGTGAGTGTATGTCCACCTTGGAAGTTGGGTGCAGGAAGGGAACCGTAATTGTCAATTGTTTTATACTTGGGGAGGGGGGCTGGGATGGGAATATGGGATCTATGGGGCCATTTTAATCTGTGAAGCACTTTGAGTTGCATTTTTTTTTGTATGAAAAGGGCTATATAAATAAAGTTGATTTGATTTGATATCAACTCCAGGCTTTATTATACAAAACTCAATGTAACCTGTACTTCAGATCTGTTGTCATGGGTTCTTATTGCACATGACAACAGCTCATCTTTGACAGACATGTGTGATGAGCACCATCATATCTACATGTTACATGAAGTGTAGAAACATTAAATGACTCATACCCAAATATGGAATAAGTGACAGCAAAACAGAGGTAGTGGAAGGAAAATAAATTTAAAAGGCCTCCACTTGTTAAGAAGCTCATTGTCTAAATTTTGTTTGTGTTCAGCAACTTCAAATAATTTTTATTTACTGCCTCCCACAGCCCAGAGAACTACCAGACAAGTGGCAGCATGACATGTTTGAGGAGCACGACAGCGGTCAGAGTGTACGAGCAGCTGATCGATTTGACAGAGCTGACAGAAGCGTGGAGAGCAGCGGAAAGCTTCTGGTTTCTAACCTGGACTTTGGGGTGTCCGATTCAGATATTAGGGTAATTCTGTAAGCCTTGTTGATCCAGTTTTTCACACCATGAACGACGCAGACTTTTGATGTTTTCTGCACTGTTTTCCAGGAGCTGTTCTCAGAGTTTGGAGCTTTAAAGACCGTATCGGTTCATTACGACAGGTCTGGTCGGAGTAAAGGAACCGCAGATGTCCACTTTGTAAATAAACCGGATGCTCTCAAAGCATTGAAGCACTATAATGGTGTCCCACTTGATGGTGAGCCGTCCTGCCTGTTGTGATGATTATTTGTTTTGAGTGCTGCTATAGAAGCAGATGGAAAGAAAAAAATCCTTGTTCTTTTTTTTATTTTTTATTTTATTTTTTTTGTTTAGGTCGTCCAATGAAAATTCAACATGTAACAATAGAAATTGGTTCAGAGAGGTAAGAGGCCACAGGAGCATGACTGGACTGATTAGACGTGGTAACTTTGGACTAATTTGTGATGTTTTTGGAACATGTTAGCAGTTCAAACAGAGGCTTTGATCGGAGCAGACTCGGTCAGCCCAGGTTTGAACGGAGACCAGGTGGCAGCGGTGGAGGCTTCAGAGGTCGAGGGAGGGGAGGTGGCAGCAGACCTCAGCTCTCTGCAGAGGAGCTGGATGCTCAGTTGGATGCTTACAATGCTGAGGTATGCTGCTGGCTGGGATGTTGTTATATCACTTGTCTTTTTAACCGTATTGTGAACATGCAAGGATGATTTATGATTGTTTCACTTTCTCTTCCAGTGTCGGATGGACACCAATTAGGAGCACTCAGGACGCTGCTAATTTTGTTGTTTTTTTTATGACTTTCCAGGATTGTTCAATTAGACACTTTTATTTTGGCGATATTATTAGATGGACCATTTAGTTAACTTTTTTAAAAAGAATTTATAGCCATGTTGTTTGGTGCAGGTTTTAGTTTTATTTATATGAACTGTAAATTGCCTTAAACCTCTAATGCAATTTGACTTGTTTTTTTTTTGTAATTGATGCATGATTTGATTCAAATTTAATTTCCTGTAACGATACACATTTCTTTTTTTTATGTCATTACTGTACTTGAATCTTGTCTTGTTAAGCGTTTTGTAAATAAATGCAATAAAACGAACTGGCTAGTAAAATTACTCCCAATAATACAGCTGTGTGGATTATTCTCAGATGCTTTAGCTCTTAGTGACCACTGTGGTTTCAAAGGCTTTAAACAAAAATAAAATAAAAACTGTCTGAATCAACACTTAATTTGGTATTTTATGGAACACGATTGAAATAGGGGCAAATTCAATGTGGCACGTGGGCGGTACCAAGCACGTGCGTGTTCCCGAGTGTCGCGAGCACGGGGCGGTGCCATTGTAATGGGCGGCGCCGTTCCCTTGTTCGCCATTCTGGCTCAGAGCAACGAACGCACTTAGTGCTGAGGTTTCTGGAACCAGCGCTGCTTTCAAACGTGAAGGTGAGTCCGCTCGGTGTCGGTAAGCAGCTGATAATCGTTTTTTACGGGCTGACTCCGACGTGTGCCGGTGAACCAACCCACCTTCATGTCGCTAGTGTTCCACCGGGTGGTGATGTTAGCCTCAGGCTCCGGTTAGCTTCCAGCTAAAAGGCTACAGCACGGGTCCTCTCCTCCCAGTCCCACCCTGCTGAAGAGGGCCTGGAAAAGTTCCCCCACGGATCAGTGATTTTTCATTTATGAGCTTTTATAACCCAGTTAATAAGGATAGTTGATGTGCTGCTGCACATAAACTGTCAGTCAGAAGCTCTGCTAGCCGGTTATCTTTAGAGGAGCTAGTTCAATTTGTTAGCTTGTTACCAGAATCAACGTTGCAGTTTCTTCATCTGAGCTGCTTTTTAAGATCTAGGTCAATTTGGGGTTGAAAACACAAACGTTTTCACATATTTTCCATGTAGTTGTGGCATTTATCATTAACTACTGACTGGTGTAACTCCAAACTCCATTCCTCATTAATGCAGCTGTATTCCCATGCTTTACAAGGCTAAATATTAAGCGTGTTAGCAGAAATTATGCTCTTTACTTCATGGGTAAATTATATATAGATTTCTTTTAAGCAGAAGAGCTTTTAAAATCCCACAAAAACACCAGCTGTATCTGATGCTATAGTAAAAAAAAAGCTGCTGGTGCAGTTCAGAGCAAACATGTTTAGTCATTCTCAAGTTTCGTTTATTTTGAAAGGTTTGAGTCTTTCTTGTAAATTGTAAGATGTAGTTGCTTTAAGCTTTCTAAATTTAGTTTTAAAAAGCGGTTTATTTCCTTTATAGGGTTTAGGGCAAGTTATCAACATTGTTGTGCTTTGTTTTTGTTTATACAATCATTTCTGAAGCCAAAGATTCCACACATATCAAGATTTATCAATTGTTTAAAGCTAAGTTTCCACAAGTAAAAAGTATTAAAGGTGCATTATGTAGAAATGAAATAAAATTCACATTCTGTGGTAAAATTTTGTTACTGCAACGACTTGAAATAACCCTGGGGATTTTGATGGCTGTTGTCAAATTACAATAGGGAGCCTAATGGGCTCGACACACGGGAGGCGACAAACGACCGCGATCAGCAAAATTTGTCGCTGTCGCTTTTATTACCTGACACACGGGAGGCGATCCGCGGCAGCTGCCAGCGGCAAAGCCGTCTACGCGTTCTGTTCCATGGCGAAATCGAAACTTCCGTTGTTTTGTTTGGCTGTGTCAGGTTGGAGGGAATTAATGTTATTTAAGTGGTTCAGAGTTAATAAAGCGGTAGATATGATGTTTCACAAGGTGCTGTTAGTTATGTGAAATCTTACTTCTGATTTTACTATATAAAACATAATAATAATCAACTTCTCCTCCATGTTTGCTCGGAGGGGTACGGAGCATCCTGTCCGCTCAATGGTCAGTGAATGAAACCTCCGTTGATTGGTCCTCGTCCGAGCGACAGCGATGAAAAGTAGAAAATATTTCAACTTTCTGGGATCGCGTCGCTGGGTCGCCTGTGCACGACACGTGCACGAGCGCAAAATTTCACACGCACGTTCTTTGCGTTTCGCTTGGTAGGAGGGAGACTCGCGATTATCGCTTTGTCGCGCATGTCTCATTGAAAATGAATAGAGGAGAGGCGATGTCACCTCCCGTGTGTCAAGCCCATAAGTCACGCCCATCTGCTTCTGGACCATGGGTCCCCGCAAGAACAAAAAGTTAAATGTAGGTCAGTGGGGCTAAAACATTATTTTCTAATTCTTGGGGCTGGGGGTAAACGATTATTTTCAAAACGATTATTCTGACGATTATTTTATCGAATAGTGGACTATTCTACTGACTATTTTGACAATTAATCTAATGATTATTTTTCTATTGCACAGTTAATAAAAACCAAAAAATCTCTAATAAATTCCTCAAAAAAAAGGATAAATTGTTACTGTAAGAGAATAAACACTACAGGCCTTCCATTTTGTATAACACTGCTTTTATTGTGTTGCGGTTGGTTATGTTCTGGTGACGTGTAGAACTTGGGAGTGCAGGCTGCTGCCTGAGAGGTGGTTGGAGACGGAGTGTCTCATTGCTGCTTTATTTTGGTCACTTATGTGCGTGAGGCGAGTGTTGTTACGACCCTTCCTGCGGAGTTTGGCTCGTGTGCAAAAAGGAAGGGACAATAACTTGGGATTTAAAAATTAAAATGATGATCAGGTTTATTTACAACTACAAAAAAACATAAATCTTTCCATCCACAGGTTGGGAATAATAAAACACTGTAAATCTGGCCATGTGGTAAGAAGCAGCTACGCTAGAGGAGGAGAGATTCTGTGGTGACGGCATGTATGCGATGTACCGATATCTAATTTGTAGTCATGCTAATTACGAGTCTTTACAGGCTTAAAAATCTCTTAAGTACACGACATGCGTGGTCGAAACACCCATTATTAGTTTTCTTTTAAATTGCAGTACAACATATGTGCGATCCAGGGCGTAAAACAAAGCAGATTAGTAAATGGCTCTTTCAGTGTCATTGACTTGTATTCATTTTTTCTTTCTGGGGACCCATGAGCTGACTGGAAAGGGAGCAGACTTAGGGTGTTTCTCAATGTCAAGGTCTTGCGAGGCCAGGCGCCTTGCTTACAAGAACACTGTCCTTCCTTGGTCAAAGAAAACGGTTAAATGGAACAGACTTGCATCACGTGACCGCGGCTTCCACGGTGGTCACGTAATGTCACATGACACAGGAGATAACGTTATATTTTATATGTATTAGTTTCAATATCAATATATAACGAGACTTTTACTTTTTAAATTGTGCATATGTTTATTAAATAAAAAATATAAGCGAGTTATTACCCGCTAGCCACCGAAGCGGCAACTACTAAAGCAACTAACCAACAATAGATAACATCTTTAGATCTAAAAATAAAACATTTTATATTAGCTGACTTACTTTTAAACTTGAAAATTGTCAAAGTAGCTGCCGGCTTCTGATCCGCCGTCTTTTTGAAAATACCGCTGTGTATTGTGGGTAATTTTAGGCCAAGGCTAGGCTACAAGACACCTCCCATGTGTCCTTGCTCAACTAGCTAAACGGCTAACAAATGGAGAACACACGCAACATGAACATTGGAACTGATTGGAACACGTCTTGGCGGCTCTTGGTGACGTATCTCCTAGGCAACCGGGGAGAGGCCAAGACATCAAGGCAAGGTTTCTTGACATTGAGAAACACCCTTAGGCTTCCTATCGTCTGCGCTGCAGTATTAGCTCTCAGGAGACAAGGCACACACTCTGTGTACACTCAGTGATGGAAAACGGTAGTTACGTCCCGTTTTGAAAGAAGAAAAACTGACAATCCGCGCAGCCAGCTGGATGAAAACGACTGAAACTTTAGACTCTTTTGGGATGTAATCACTGCAAAATTCTAACTATATTCTTACACACTGCACCTAAGAAAATAAGATGGGTCACTGACTTTTTTTTCTTAACTTTTGCAGTAGGTGGATACGTTTTCATTGTTTCTGAAGTTCTTGTTTGAAACATTAAATAAAGGGATACAAAGCAGTTTTGCTTTTTAGTGCCCCCTAGTGTCCGTTTGTAGAAGCAAAACTATCTCCTCGCTGTGCGTTTATCTTTTTAACACCTTAATCTACCAACCAAAATGTCTCCCAGCATTCCTGAGTGTCTAGAGGAGTGATTCATCACTAAATTAAACAAATCAGCTGGGTTCATGATCTAAAGCATGCAGGAAATGTGCTGATACCAGACAGCAGCATCGGGTACCTCAGCTCAAGTCCCAACAGACCAGACCGGCGATGGTTGATGAGGCCTGGGTGGCCTTTCATTAACCATGTAAAGGGCCGTTTTAGCACATACTAGCTCAAGAAAATGATTTAAAAATATAAAAAGTTGCAAATTGTCCCTTTAACAAATAATGTGCAGCTGATGTTTGTAGCTTCCTCTGTTCATTTCTTGATTGTTTCCCTACTATTGGGTGTGGTCTGGCCATCTCACAGGATTAACGGACATCCCTAAAACTTTGTTGATTTAAATTTATCCTTTGTGAAGAGGAAAAGCTGGACAGGAAATTCTATTTCCTTTAGGGAGTTTAACGTGGGATAAAAAATAGAAAGACAGGATTCTTCAGCAGAGCTGATCAACTTACTCCCACTGTGGAGGTCACTTCAGTAAAACCTTCTGTGAAAGAGGAAGGAGGGGGCCAGCGGTTACATAATCCGTCCAGTACCACCTGCCATTTCCTTCTCCCTCGCTCGTCTTTTCTGGATTTGACACTTAATAATGCAAAGCAGTGAAATGCAGTATGTGGCCCGTTCTCTTTGTATTTTGCGTTAACGATGAATCAAAGCGGCCAGTGAAGCATAAGTCGTTTCATGGTTTTACTCTAACATGGTCAAGACTTGAAATATTTCTGGTTTTGTTTGTCTGGATTATGAACCGGTCGGTAATAATATGGGAGTGTTTGATTTGTTGTTTTTTCCTCTTCAAAAATTTCTCACATGACAGCTAGTTTAGGACCAGTTGGATCAGAAATCTGTATTTTAATTTTAGATAAAGGAACATGACAAAATAATTCTGTTTGAAAAGTAACAAATGTTTAACTCTTAGTGAGCTGGTAAGTGTATATATGGTATATATATTTTTTGTTTCATAAAATAAAACAGCTGATTGTCTTAAATTGTTAGAACCAACCGGACGTATCAGCGTTTTTATCCTTCTTGAACCAGAAAAATGTAATGGTTATGTTTACTTAAGTGTTAACGCTTGTGCATGCTGTCTCTCTGTGAAATCTGCTTTTTAATTCATATGACCACATTTGCTGTCCTCTCAGGATGATGTTGTAGACATTTTTATTTAAAAAAAGCATCCATCCATCCATCCCTCTCTCCCTCCCTCTTCAGCTTATCCAGAGTCAGGTCGTGAGGACAACAGCAATAAATCAATTACAGTAACATTGTTAAATATTAGTAAGCAGCTCCAAGTTGGGAAAAGGATAAAGTAATTCTAATAAAAACTGAAATCATTCTGAATAAATGTTTAAACTGCACAACTTTGGTCCCCTGGCCTGTATTGATGGTTGTGTGGAGATCTGCGGGTGGGATGGCCGGAATGTCAAACCAAACGGAGCTCTTCCTGCTTTTGTTACTCGCCGTGTTTCGGCTGAGGAAATCGTTCTAACACTGACTTCTGAGCGGGAGATGACTTTTCCACTGGAAGACTGCCAAATGAACAGTTAGTTGTTAAAATAAATTGTAGCACTAAACGCTCATCACAATCATATGGTCTTATAAGAATTAATTGAATCTGTGGCTAAATTAAAGAAAAACCTCTAAACTGAAATATAAATTCTCATAATGAGATGATACCATTCCTTAAATCCCATCTGTCTCATTCCTGATGCTCCGGAGAAAGTTGCGTTTTTTCCCATGACCTGAACAGTGAGGTCTTCACCACATCCTCCCAGAGAGGCTTTTATCATGTGATGCGAGACACGTAATTCAGTTGACCAGAGATGATCTCACACGGCAGTGTCAGTTTTGGCAGCAGCACAGAGATGATGATTTCAGATGATGAATGATGATTTCTGTCCAGGCTGATGGTAGCTTTATGTTATCTGATTCACAGTCTTCACCCTCAGGAATGTATCCAGTTGTTTTATCCATTTATTTTACTCTTATTCTCAGCTAGCTCGTTTTTTGTCTCCCCCTGCCCGCTCCGCCTCTAGACATGGCTGAGGATGAGGTGACTCCAGAGCAGCTAGCAGCTATTGCCGCTGAAAATGAGGAGCCAGAACCAGTAAACTACAAGCCTCCAGCCCAGAAGTCAGTAAAAGAGATCCAGGAGCTGGACAAGGATGATGAAAGCTTACGCAAATACAAAGAAGCCCTTCTTGGCCCAGGGATCTCGGAGATCGGTAATGTTGCTGAAGCACGTTCATGCAGGTTTCTGAACAAAAACAGAAGCAGCATTAATTCAAATGTATGCAATGTGAAACAAACATGTTAAATGCTAGTTGGTGGTTTATTTTGGACTAAATATGTTGTTTGTTCCTGTCCAACCCTGGACATCCTTGATTTGAACCTCCACTAATCCATTTTCTCTCACAAATCTCAACTGAGGATAAACTGAAGTGTAACTAACAAACAGACTCAGTAGAGTTGTCCTACTTTCTGCTCCCCGAAGCTCTCAGAGCTACAGGATATGGGACATCGTGTCAAGTCCAGATGCTAAAGTACAAACTGAACTCAATGATACCTTATGACTTAGAAAAATGGTTTTACAAAGGAAATGGGATCTCCTAAACGTTTAAGTCGATAGTTACGGGATCAGTGAGTCAGCAGGTTTTGGTTCTGTTTATTCTGAAGACCCAGAGCAGCTGATCTGTCATGTGATCAGTCTGTTGAGCTGCAGATTACTAAAAGCCGAAATGATTCATCTTTTTTTAAATTTTTTATTTAATCTCATCTCAGATCCAAATGCTCCTAATGTCCAGGTGACCCGGATGGCACTCGTCTGCGAGGGTGCACCAAAACCTCTGGTCCTGGACCTGCAAGGTGAGTTAAACTATGTAACCACACACTATGTGATTTTTGGCCATCTTAGCCAAATTCCTCATCCTGAGCAGAATTGTGACAAAACGGTGAACGTGAGGGTGATTTGCATATCTGTGAACACAGTGTGACCGACTCCACGACAGCTTAATGAGTTGTCTCACGATCAAATCAACCTCTGTCTTCAAGCACTGCTTGAAAATCTACACATCTTGTCTACAATTGACCAATGAAAACACACCTTAGGAACGCCGCCTCCCTGAGCTTCGGTTTCAGTTTGTTTAAAGTATGGATTATAAACTACACACCAGTTTTTATTTATATTAATAGCCCCAGTTAAACTGGAGTTATACTGAAAATTAAACTACATTTTTAGACCATCAGCTGAATTGTGAAAAACTGTGATTTTAGTTGTGTGTGTGTGTGTGTGTGTGTGTGTGTGTGTGTGTGTGTGTGTGTGTGTGTGTGTGTGTGTGTGTGTGTGTGTGTGTGTGTGTGTGTGTGTGTGTGTGTGTGTGTGTGTGTGTGTGAGAGAGAAAGAGAGATGAGCTCACAATCATAAAAAAATTTAACACAAACATGAGCTCCTTTTGCTGTTGGTGGAAATTTCACATATTGAACTGATAAGGATGGCTTCAGTAGTGTTTTGTGTTGCAGAGCGACGGGAAGCTCTAGCCTGATCAGCCAGCTCCATGCTTCCGCATGGAGCTGGGAACTCTTCTACTGAAATAACCCCACCCCCTGGGAATTCTAACTGAGCCAATCAGCACAGAGCACACCACGGCGCTGAGTTTCTCATAAACATGGCGTCTGAAGTGGAGTTCGCTGCGACTCTTTCCTCTGTTCTAAATGACTTGGACATGTCTTTAAAACCACGACAAGTAGAAGCGCTAAAAGCCTTCTTAAAAAAATGTTTGCGCTGTCGCCAGACGCAATTTTGACTATAGCTAAAAACTACAGCATCGCGCGGTACAGTCTGCGTTTCTGCCTTTTTTCTGATTGGGTATTTTTGTGCTGGCAAGTCCTGCCCCTCATATGCCTCTCTTGCCTGTGAGTTAGCAGACTAGTTCTCTGTGTAGACAGAGGATGAGTCTGGCAGGCCAGGCTAGGGAAGCTCCGGAGTAAGACAGAATTCACGGCAAATGTTTTGATAGATATTAGAGCGATCTGTGACCGATTGTTACTTCTCTGTAGATTAGTGGGTTTTGTGTATAAGGCCGTCGCTTTTATTACCTGACACACGGGAGGCGATCCGCGGCAGCGGCAAAGCCGTCTACGCGTTCTGTTCCATGGCGAAATCGAAACTTCCGTTGTTTTGTTTGGCTGTGTCACGTTGGAGGGAATTAATGTTATTTAAGCGGTTCAGAGTTAATAAGTTGGTACGTATGATGTTTCACAAGGTGCTGCTAGAGTTATGTGAAATCTTACTTCTGATTTTACTATATAAAACATAATAATAATCAACTTCTCCTCCATGTTTGCTCGGAGGGGTACGGAGCATCCTGTCCGCTCATTGGTCAGTGAATGAAACCTCCGTTGATTGGTTCTCGTCCGAGCGACAGCGATGAAAAGTTGAAAATGTTTAAACTTTCTGGGATCGCGTCGCTGGGTTGCCTGTGCACGACACGTGCACGAGCGCAAAATTTCACACGCACGTTTTTCGCGTTTCGCTTGGTAGGAGGGAGACCTGCGATTATCGTTTTGTCACGTATTCGGCTCGACACACGGGAGGCGACAAACGACCGCGATCAGCGAAATTTGTCGCTGTCGCTTTTATTACCTGACACACGGGAGGCGATCCGCGGCAGCGGCCTGCGGCAAAGCCGTCTACGCGTTCTGTTCCATGGCGAAATCGAAACTTCCGTTGTTTTGTTTGTCTGTGTCAGGTTGGAGGGAATTAAGGTTATTTAAGCGGTTCAGAGTTAATAAAGTGGTACGTATGATGTTTCACAAGGTGCTGCTAGAGTTATGTGAAATCTTACTTCTGATTTTACTATATAAAACATAATAATAATCAACTTCTCCTCCATGTTTGCTCGTGTACGGAGCATCCTGTCCGCTCATTGGTCAGTGAATGAAACCTCCGTTGATTGGTCCTCGTCCGAGCGACAGCGATGAAAAGTTGAAAATGTTTCAACTTTCTGGGATCGCGTTGCTGGGTCGTCCGTGCACAGCACGTGCACGAGTGCAAAATTTCACACGCACGTTTTTCGCGTTTCACTTAGTAGGAGAGACCCGCGATCATCGCTTTGTCGCGCATGTCTCATTGAAAATGAATTGAGGAGAGGCGATGTCGCCTCCCGTGTGTCGAGCCCATAAAGGACGATGAGAAGAATGAATGTCCAGCAGACAGATCAGCTGTTAATCTGGAAGACAGGAAAAGAAGACCTGCAGTTGGAGTCTGAGGCCAAAGCAAGGGTTTTGAAAACGGTCCTTCCTCTTCGAGGAAGAGCTGGGTCATGAGCTGAGCTGATGCTAAAAAGAAGTGTTAACGGCAGCGCTTTTATCTTTTCAACTCCGTTTTGGTTAGCGGTCTGCCTAGTGTCTTTGTCCTCATGTCTTTGAGGGGTGCGCTCATGACGTAGCGTGTCCTGCTGGAGAGACGTTGTGTAGTCTGCCTCACTAAAATCTTACATGGTACAGTGTGCCACCTTTCTGAAGTTCTCACAGTGTGACATGAACAATCCTGTGTGACGGCCAAAACTCGCACAGTGAAATCCCAGCTCTAGAGAATAAGTGCACCTGTGAGTATTTCTCATCCTAAACACCAGTAGATGTCTCCTAGCAGGAGCATCTTCTCCAGCTGGCCACGATTTAGAATTCATCTAGAACATTCTGTCCCCTTATTCTCATCCTTTACATCGCCGCAGTTTTTAGAAGTTCTTCCTGTAATCTCATGGCCTGGCAAGCCAGACTCAATAAATGCATTTAGTCTGGCAACGCTCCATTGACGGCTCTCGGTCGTGGGACAGGTTCTACCGTTGTCTTTCAAACGATCTCCACGTGCTACTGGACAACAACTTGAGCCACCACAACGGATGTCTGTAAACGAGGCAGTCCGCTGTTGAAGGCTAGAATACATCCTTTTTTTTTTTCTAAAGAACTTAATTACATCTATCTGCTCCTGATTCTAATAAAGCCCAAATCCAAAAAGTCCAGATTTGATGTAAAAACTGTTTCAAACGAGCTGTCGCCATCTTGTTCCACTCTGTTGCATCATCCCACCCACCAAATGAATAGAGGGCCCTGATTGGTCCACAAAGCAGAGCGCTGTGATTGGGCCACCATTTTGGACCAATCACGGCACTCTATTGGATTGAAACCCCTATAGAGAGCTGTGATTAGCCAGCCAGAATGCTGCTAGGGGCTGCAGAGGTTCCAGTGGAGCGTTCCTAGACCCAACTTTGCAAAGCATGGATTTGGTTTAGTTCACTAGGCTAATGATCTCAAGGGTCTGTTTTGAGGATATGAGAGGTCAGCAGTAAAGCCCATCCCATTATTCCTGCTATCCTGCTCAAGGTAAACAAAATAAAATAACACTTTGGAGAAATTTAGACGGCCCAAATATTTTAGTACAATGGCCAAAAAAGTCCTCGCAGGACACAAACATTTTATGGTGAATATTTTTAACTGTACTGCTCTAAAATTTTAGTGAAAAAAAAAATCTGTAAAATGTTTTAAAAGTCTGGGTTTTACACCAAAGTCTTTGTCTGTCCTAGAAATACAGATACCCTCTGAGCTTGCTCCCAGAGATGCTGCAGTGTTTTAAAAATAAGTCCAGGTCCAGATTTAAACTTTAGCAGTGATGCCAGAACGTCATCCACAGGCTGTTCTCACAAGAGATGTTCTTGTGAAGTTTGTAGCAGAACCAGGTCGGCGTGTTCTTGCACACAGCGCCAGTAAATGTGTCTAAGTTAAAGATTTCCGACAATTGTTTTACTTTTGAGTTTATAAAACCAATAATCTTCTACTGACGGGTCATGTGGTTCACATGTTATAGCTAACAAATGAATAAGTGACTGAACGTTGTGGTGTTTCAACAGGAGACCTGGAAGCCTTCAAGAAGCAGGCCTTTGTGCTGAAGGAGGGAGTCGAATACAAAATAAAGATCAGTTTTAAGGTGAGAGCGGGTGTCACCTCTTGTTTTAAAATATAGGAATCTTCATCTAAAATTAAGATTCATTATGATGAAAACTGATTTTTTTTTCTCCCTGAAATAAAAAAAGTTATGAGGTGAAACTGAGAACTTCTATAAATGCTACTTGTATGTCCTGAAAGTCACTAAAATGATATGTACAGTGAATAATACCCATAAATCCACCTGGTTTATCCTTCCCAGCTCGCTTTATGATTCCAGTTTATAATGTGTTGAAGAAATCGGCATGAGAAGCAAATTTATATCCATGTTTATTAACATTCAGGAGTATTTATAAAATATAAATAACATCTATAATGTTTCTGAAACAGATTTTGATGAATTGAGCATACTAATAAAAAGTTCTGTATCTTTTGACATTATATTAAAATCAGTTTCTGTCTTCAGGTGAACAAGGAGATCGTTTCAGGTCTGAAGTACGTGCAGCAGACGTTCAGGAAAGGAATGAAAAGTGAGTTAAAAAAACAACAAAGTAAACAAACAAGCTCTGGAGTTATTCCATCTGGCCCCATGCAGCCCAACAGCCTCCGGATCAGAGAAAAGGAGAGGGGTTAGGACACCTATGGAAATTAGTTTTCTGTTATTTGATACAGAGTAGTGAATAAGCTCGACTCTCCCATGTTCCAGTCTGAATCGACAAAGCTCCTCGGATGAGAAGAGAAACGTCTTTAAGAAAACAAAGTCCAGTTGCCTTCATCTGAACTCTTGTGGATTAACAGAGAAGTGAAGCTTTTACTTTATTTCACTGACAGTTTGGGCTACCTCTGGTTGCCTTCGTCAGCGCTTTGGTCGTCGTCACACCCGTTGCTGCTTTTGTTCTCCTTATCCATCACCACTTCCCATGAAGGAACCTGCATGTAAACTCCTTCATCTTTACTCACGGTCCAGGGTCCACGCCTCTTGATCTCAGTTGCCTCTTTTCTCCTTCTTTTGTACTTCTGTTGTTGACCTGTGTGTTGTCCCAGTCCATAATGTGGTCTCTTGTGCATTGGTCAGTTATGGCCGATTTCTTCATTTAGTTATTTACTTCTACTTTGTCTGTTTGTTTGTTTTTCACAAAAATCAAACAAACAGGGGGGGGGGGGGGGGGGGGTCATTTTGCCTTGGCCCCCAAAATGTCTTGAAACAGCCCTGGGTGTGTGACTGAGTTTTGAGGGTGGTCTGAATTGTATCAGATGTATAAATATTACATGTGTATAACTTATTGCTTTATACAGGTAAAAACGTGTAGTGGAGATAAATCTACCAACATTTTACTTTTTGTTTTGTTTTCTTGTTTTTATTTAACCATTTCCTGTCCTGTCTGTCTCTCATCTTCCTGCATCTCCTCTAAACTCTCCAGAAAAACTTCTGCCTGGATTCTTACTTTTTCACCTCATCAGTTACTTCTGAGCAGATCAAAGGGATCTCCTGACCGTAAAGCGGACAGCGCGTTTCGATGCTGCGTCAGTGAGGTGAAATCACCGCAGCACAGGTGATGAGCTCCGCAGTAGCAGAGCGCTTCAGGCACAAATAAGATAGAAAGTAGAGAACATGTGCGGACATGAACGATCGTGTGTTAATTATAGTTTTTTGGTTGCGCTACTTTGAGAATGGACCGTGCGCTGGAAGCAGCTGCCTGGAGCGCTGCGCAACAACGCGCTGTGCTGCCCTCTGCTCAAAAGAGTCCATAAATGATGTAATATAGGTAGAAAACTTTTTTCCGGCTCCCCTGGATGTGTAGGATATACAGCTCCCCCATAATTCGATCCCTGCTCCTGGATGAAAAGCCGGACAGAGAGTGAAAAGTGGACATGTCTGGGGAAAACAGGATGTACGGTCACCATAGTCCTCATAAAGCGGGAAATTACAGATACAGTATTTTGCTCGTGCCCTTGCTGCCCTGGGCCCTTTAGAGTTCGTGGGCCCTGGGCAATTGCCCAGTTGCCCATATGGTTAATCCGGCCTTGCTCTTACTCTACTGCCTGCAGAGAGCCCGTGTGAGCGTGACCGTCAGAAGGCTGAGTAATAACCTGTAAAATGACTAACGTCATCATGCTAGAGCAGCCTTTCTCTGTGGTGGACGACTGACACCGGGTTAAGCCACTAGGAGCCGATAAAAATAATAATCATTAAATAGATCTCACAACACACAAAGTTGTGAGATCTTTAATTTCCTTTTTGAACTATTTAGTCTGACAGTTTTAACATTTTAAATCTGTTAGATTGTTACTAACAGCAGCTACATTTAAGTTTCTGTTTCTCTTCTGACTGAATCGCTGCTGCAGCATGTAGGTGTAGGTTCTCAGTCATCCCAGACATCATCCTGATGGGTTTGATTAAAAACAGCTGGACTTCTCTGGTTATGCTGGAGACATTTAACTCATCCCAGAGGCTTCTGCCATACTTTGATTGTGGTCAGAAACAAACACATGGATTGTTCTGCAAGTCTTTTTCTAAGTGAAGGTGATGTTATTAGTCATAGAATTAAAATTCACGTTATAGTTGTTGCATCAAGTAGGACCTGTGGTTAGCTGGCACATTTAAAATGGGTAATGGGTTGAAGGAATCGGAATTATCAATTATCATTGATCAAAATCGGGATCAATGGGAACCGGAATTGAAACAAGGAATTGGAATCATTTAAATTCAAATGATGCCTAACCCTAGTTGGTGGCAGTCAGAGTTTGATGGATGGATCAGGATCCAATCGCTAAGAATGGGATGTTCACAATGATTGGATGAGGGTTTTCCAGGATTATGCTCCAGACGTGATTAAAATTAATATTTTGACAAAATGTATAATTTTTTTTATGTAAAGAACATTTCAAACAATGACAACATCTCCTACCCCACCTTTAAGGTATACTGAAGCACTCAGGAAGTTCCCAGCTGACCTGTGTGTTTCTGCCTTGACAGTTGATAAATCGGACTACATGGTGGGCAGCTACGGGCCTCGCCCTTCTGAATACGACTTCCTGACCACGATGGAGGAGGCTCCTAAAGGCTTGTTAGCCAGAGGGAACTACATCATCAAGTCCAAGTTCACCGACGATGACAAGCACGACCACCTGTCCTGGGAGTGGAACCTGAACATCAAGAAGGACTGGGATGATTAAGATGCCTTTGTGTGTGTGTGTGTTGGGGGGGGATGTCTGTGGGGGTGTGAGGGAGCCAGATCGCTCAGCCTCAGCCCCCGCCCTCCACCCCCCTATCCCTCCATCCTTGTCATGTGTCCTCCACCATTTCTACGTTTTTGTTTACGTTGCATTTTGTGCTCTGGGGCCTTCGTTCTCAACCCCCTCCCCCACTCCATTTGTCCATCCGTCACTGTCCTACCTGCAGAACCTCTGATTGGTTGCACACCTCCCAAGTAGCAACTTCTTCCTCCCAGCAGCTTGAAGAGATTTACAACCCCCCCCCCCCCCCCCCCAGAATGGCGTCTTCCTCTTTCAGTATGAAGTTAATGTGGGAAAAGCAACTGTACAATCAACTTTTGTTTGCCTTTTTTATATATATAAATGTATTACTGGTTGTGTCATGTGACTGTAATCATGTTAATCATCTGTTGTATTCATAGTCCCCCTCTTTTTTTTTTTCACCCCACCTTGCCATCACCTCTCACTGCATCATTTCTCGCCATCTTTTGATAAATAACCAATATCTGCCTTCTGCCAGTGTGATCGGAGCTGCTCTGTAGCACCTCCCGACCCTCCCTAAATGTACTCACCCACTCATTCAAATGCCTGGGGGGGGGGGGAAGCTGCCTTATGTTGAAATGTGTCTTTAGTGTCTGAGCAGCCTTTGTCAGGTAACCTGAGTGAAGTCTTGCTACCATCTGTAGCCCTGCTGTAGTGGAGATTATTGAAACAGGTTACCTGCATGCAGCTCTGCACAAGCTCACTGCCCCCCCCGATCTAGACCTTTATAATTGGAGGGACCTGAATGTTCAACATAAAATTGGGGAAAACTACGAATCCAGTATGGCCTCTTCTGCTCCTTTTAGCCAGTTGGAGAAAAAAACATTGATTTTTATTTCTTTTTGCCTTATTGACCCAGCCCCCCCACACATTGTTCAGATTGTGTAGTTTGCAGTCAGGAGGAGGTATGTAGGAGAACCATTGAGGATGCACAGGAGGAAGAAGGATGCTGAGTCGGACACCGTCTGCTGCTGTTGGAGACCCCGACGGTGTCTGGTCTGGATCACTGAAAGTGAAAAGATGACTGACGAGCCCCTCAGCCTTTTTAAACAGCACTAACACAAAGATCAGGTGCACTAAACTGACCAGTAACATTAAATTATAAATCTAGTACTGTACCAGAACATCTGGATGTAAAACCATCTGTATTCCTGCTCCCTACATTCCTTCACATTGTACAGTTTGTATAAAACGCTGGCATGCTGGTGGGGTTGTATATTCAGTCATTAGTTGTTGCTCTTCTCAGTCAATAAAGGTTTTGCTCAACTTGACTTTGTTGTGTTTTACAAACGTTTGTTTTGTACAAAAATATAATTTCTTTCTAAACACTTGCATCGATAAGAATCTCCACCTGAACACTAACCAGACTAAAGAGCTTATCGATTTCAGGATGCTTGGATCACTGGAAGTGATCTACACAGCAGTACATCCAACTGGCCTCACAACCGTAGACCACGTGTGATCACACCAGACCAGGGGCCTCATTTATCAAGCTTGCTTACGCACAAAACGGGGTCGGAAAACTGCGTAAGCAACTTTCCACGCAAACTTTGGGATTTATGAAAGAAAACTTAGCGGAAAAATGTGCGTAACTTTAAGTTGACTAAGGACCTGGCTTACGCACATTTTGGACGTGGAGAGCACCTGCAGTGCTGCTGCTGAGAAGGATAAAATTATGAAATCCTGCAGCATTATCACTTGTACTGCTTCGTTTTCACACAAGACCCCCCACACGCGCACACAAGCGCGCGCACACACACACACACACAGCCTGAAGCACAGAATACGGAATGCAGAATATCAGCAGGGAGACGATTGAGACAGCATGTTATGCGTCTGTGACAGTGTGAGTATCCTGTCACCGTGACTCGATTGATGATGCGTCCTGGCTGCTTGGACAAGGGAGATTTCTGTTCGGGTGACTGGTTAGCACGCGTGACTTTGACCTGGTAGTCTGGGGATCGAATCCCGACTGGACCATTTTTTTATATTCGCCACAGATCTCTCTGAAGAATTCACAACATTGACGGCTTCAGCAATGCTGTGCCACTCCGTGGATTTTCTCTTATTTGTTTTGCAAAAGCACTTCCTTTAATTTCTCCACCTCACCCACAAGTACCTCAATTTCTGCTTCTGTGAAATTGTGCTTCCTTGATCTGCCTTGATCTACGGTCACCATCGTCATTAGCGGAGCGCTGCAACAGCCGGCTTATGTATATGCATGAGATTCACAAGGCTCTTTGCAGTGACTATTTATGGCAGTAACTGGGCGTGGTGAGGCCGGGATGGGACTAAAAAGCAGCTGAGAACATTTCTAGATAGTTTCTGATTTATGAAGCGGAGATTGCGTGCAGCTGTGCGTACTCCATGTTTGATAGATCACAAACCTACTTGGCAGAAGTACATATTTTTTGCTGAGCTTACAGGTGCTGGCCAGTAAATTAGAATATCATCAAAAGGTTGAAAATATTTCAGTAATTCCATTCAAAACGTGAAACTTGTACATTATATTCATGCAATGCACACAGACCAATGTATTTCCAATGTTCATTACATTTAAATTTGATATTCATAAGTGACAACTAATGAAAACTCCAAATTTGGTATCTCAAAAAATTAGAATATTCTGAAAAGGCTGAATATAGAAGACACCTGCTGCCACTCTAATCAGCTGATTTACTCAAAACACCTGCAAAGGCCTTTAAAAGGTCCCTCAGTCTTGTTTTGAAGGCACCACAATCATGGGGAAGACTTCTGACTTAACAGCTGTCCAAAAGACAATCATTGACACCTTGCACAAGGAGGGCAAGACACAAAAGGTGATTGCTAAAGAATCTGGCTGTTCGCAGAGCTCTGTGTCCAAGCACATTAACAGACAGGCGAAGGGACGGAAAAAATGTGGTAGAAAAAAGTGTACAAGCTCTAGGGATAACCGCACCCTGCAGAGAATTGTGACGACAAACCCATTCAAAAATGTGGGGGAGATCCACAAAGAGTGGACTGCAGCTGGAGTCAGCGCTTCAAGAACCACCACGAGGAGACTCATGAAAGACATGGGATTCAGGTGTCGCATTCCGTGTGTCAAGCCACTCTTGAACATGAAACAGCGCAAGAAGCGTCTCGCCTGGGCCAAGGACAAAAAGGACTGGACTGATGCTGAGTGGTCCAAAGTTATGTTTTCTGATGAAAGCAAGTTCTGCATTTCCTTTGGAAATCAAGGACCCAGAGTCTGGAGGAAGAGCGGAGAAGTACAGAATCCACGTTGCATGAGGTCCAGTGTAAAGTTTCCACCGTCAGTGATGGTGTGGGGTGCCATGTCATCTGCCGGTGTTGGCCCACTCTGTTTCCTGAGGTCCAGGGTCAATGCAGCCGTCTACCAGGAAGTTTTAGAGCACTTCATGCTTCCTGCTGCTGACCAACTTTATGGGGATGCAGACTTCACCTTTCAACAGGACTTGGCACCTGCACACAGTGCCAAAACCACCAGCACCTGGTTCAAGGACCATGGTATCCCTGTCCTTGATTGGCCAGCAAACTCGCCTGACCTTAACCCCATAGAAAATCTATGGGGTATTGTGAAGCGGAGGATGCAATACGCTAGACCCAACAATGCAGAGGAGCTGAAGACGACTATCAGAGCAACCTGGGCTCTCATAACACCTGAGCAGTGCCACAGACTGATCGAGTCCATGCCACGCCGCATTACTGCAGTTATTGAGGCAAAAGGAGCCCCGACTAAGTATTGAGTGCTATACATGCACATTCTTTTCATGTTCATTCTTTTCAGTTGGCCAACATTAGAGAAACAAACATTTTTTCATTGGCCTTTAGAATATTCTAATTTTCTGAGATACCAGATTTGATGTTTTCATTGGTTGTCACCTATAAATATCAAAATTAAACGTAATAAACATCGGAAATACATTGGTCTGTGTGCATTGCATGAATATAATGTACAAGTTTCACGTTTTGAATGGAATTACTGAAATATTTTCAACCTTTTGATGATATTCTAATTTACTGGCCAGCACCTGTAAGTACGGTTTTAGTAAGGATTCTACGCAATGTTTGACAAATGAGACCCCTGGACCTTCACATCCAGCATGTTCACATCCAGGATCACCGGAGACCTGCCACCCGGACAGCTGCAGCAACAATCGGTTTGCATAACCAGAGAATTTCTGCAAAACTGTCAGAAACCATCTCAGGAAAACCCATCTGCATGCTCGTCATCCTCATTGGAGCCTGGACCTGATTGCAGTCCGTCATCGTAACCGACTTGAGCAGGCAAACACTCGTATTCTATGGCGTCTGGCATGTTGGAAAGGCATTCTGTTCACAGGTGAGTCACGGTTTTCACTGTTTAGGGGAGATGGCAGACTGCGTGTGTGGCGCCAAGTGGGTGAGCAGTTTGCTGATGTCAACGTTGTGGAACAAGTGGCCCATGGTGGTGGTGGGGTACTGGTATGGGCAGGCATATGTTATGGACAGTGAACACAGGTGCATCCAAAAGGGATAATTTTGGATTACCCTGACCTGGATGACTGAGAACCTTCATCAGCATATGAACACAGGTGGTATTTTGAATGCACAGAGGTACTGTGATGAGATCCTGAGGCCCATTTTTGTGCCATTCATCCACGACAATCATCTCATGTGGCGTCCATGTGGAAACTTTCTGGAGCTCCAGATCTGCAATGCACAACAGCTAGTGTGAATGCTGGAGAGGGAAGTCTGGGCCTCTCAGCTTAGGCTGCTGCCCCCGCAACCCGTATCTGGATAAATGGAAGAAAATGGATGGATGAATAGAGAATAATTAAATCAATTTTTTTTCAAATTTCCTCCAGTTATTTATCAGCTTTCCCTAGTTGATGGATTCCATCCATCCATCCATTTTCATCCGCTTATCCGGAGTCGGGTCGCGGGGGCAGTAGCCTAAGGTGAGCGGCCCAGACTTCCCTCTCCCCAGCCACTTGGGCCAGCTCTCCTAAAGCCGGGCGTACACTGTGCGACTTTTTCACTCGTAGCACTCAGCTTCAGCTCAAACTGTACGACTTCCTCTCAGAGCAGATCTCACGAGCCAGACGCTCACACTGTACGACCCAGTTCTCGGATGCGACCTGACTGCTCACACTGTACGTCTGGTAGCAACACAACGGCCCTAAAATATGCTAAAAATAGCTGTTTTTACACAACACGTTAGACTTTTTTGTCTTGTTTTGCCTGTTGTCCTTCGGGAGTGCTGCAGGAGGACACACAGGGATTTATGGGGGTTGGATGAGGAAAACGAAATAAAGAAAGTAAATCTGTGTTTTGTGATCAGTTTAATTTGACAAGAACACAACAAACACGCTTTCTTAACAATCTTTGTGAGTAAAAAAAAAAATGTGTAGAAATTAAAACGAACAGCGTGTGTTATTAGGGAAATAGCGGGCGAGCGGCGTTGATGCAGGATTGCGCATGCGCCGTGAGCGGATCGGATACATTTTGGGTCGCAGCGCCGCTTCAACAGTGCGATACCCTCACGAGGGACGAGCAAAATATTAAACACGCCAAAAGTCCATGCAACCTCACGATTGCTGATCGGCAGCTGGTCACGTGGTGTTAATAGCCTCTCGTAACCCCCTGTACACTACACGACCGCTCGGCGCAAAACTCGCCCCAATGTCGTGGATCCTCGCACGACTGGAAAATCGGCTCAAAAAAGTGAAAAAGTTGCACAGTGTACGCCCGGCTTAAGGCATGTTCCCTGACCTGCTGAGAAACACAGTCCCTCCACCGTGTCCTGGGTCTACCTTTAGGTCTCCTCCCGGTTGGACGTGCCCAGAAAACCTCACCAGGGAGGCGTCCAGGAGGCATCCTGACCAGATGCCTGAGCCACCTCAACTGGCTTCTCCCGATGTGGAGGAGCAGCGAATCTACTCCGAGCCCCTCCCGGATGACCGAGCTTCTCACCCTATCTCTAAGCGAGAGCCCAGCCACTCTTCGGAGAAAACTAATTTCGGCCGCTTGTATCCGCGATCTCATTCTTTCGGTCACTACCCAAAGCTCGTGACCATAGGTGAGGGTAGGAACGTAGATCGACCGGTAAATCGAGAGCTTCACCTTCTGACTCAGCTCCCTCTTCACCACGACAGACCGGTACAACGCCCGCATCACTGCAGATGCAGCACCAATCCGCCTGTCGATCTCACGCTCCAGTTTTCCCTCACTCGTGAACAAGACCCCGAAATACTTGAACTCCTCCACTTGGGGCAGGACCTCATCCCTGACCCGGAGAAGGCATTCTACCCTTTTCTGAATCAAGACCATGGTCTCAGATTTAGAGGAGCTGATTCTCATCCCAGCTGCTTCACACTCGGCTGCGAACCGCTCCAGCGATGGATAGATTATAATAGCAAAATAAAACTGTAAAAAAGAACAGACTTGTAACAATTTATGCCCGTATTGTATTTACTCAACAATGTACACTGCCAAAGCAAATAGAAATATTACTTACAAATGTTTATCCAAAGGCACAGCATCAAAATACAGTTCGACATGCATTTCTGTCTCATACTGAAGTAAACATTCAGAGTATGACCCATCTGGTCGTTCGTCACAGGATGAATTCTTTACTGTAGGGAAGCGTTGGGACAACACAGCAGAAAGGTTCCTAGTAATGTGCAGCACTGAAGTCCAATCAGGTCTCACTTGTAACATTTCCTCTAAGCTGACATTATTAGCACCCAAAACGTCTCTGATTCACAACAGACTCTGAACGCACCTGAACTCCACCGCGTCCCACAGGCGGCCCTCGTAAACACGTGAAATGCACATTTACAGGTTTGAGGAGAAATGAGCAGGTTTGGTCCACCACCATCATCACCATCAGCAGCAGCCAGATAAAACCAGTAAAGACTCATCCTGAGAAAGATTTGATGCTTTGACTTGAAGGATGTGCAAAAACTGAAACCAACCTTTCTTTTTCCTTTTGGCACATTAAAATCTGGCATTTGTTTTTTTAAATTCCTCCCCTTCTTACGGGGAGGCTTAAAGCCTCTAAACAAAGGATCACTGAAGCAAAGCACATTAAAATATTCCAGTTAAAAAAATACAACAGTAAAAACGTAATATAAAAGTGGATGTGAACATCCCGTCGGTCCATGTGAGATATGCAGGTCAGCGTGTTATACAGTAGATCTGCCCAAAACAAAAACATTAACAAGGCCCAAGTGCAGACAAGAACCCTGAAATCAGTTTGATGCTGTGTCTCCCTTTAGTGGTCCGTGTCCTCCGAGTGGCTGACTGATACATCGTGTAATACTTTGTGTCTCCAGGGTTTTCCAGGCTCATCTGGACAGTTTGCTGATAACTCGGATGAGGGCGGCGTTCTCGTCCTTCAGCCTCTGGTTGTCTGCTCTGAGGTCCCCCAGAACCTGCGGGCACACGGTGAAACAGCATCGTTTTAAGATCTCAAACAATCTGTGGCGTTGCCAAATTATTTTAAACATCCACAGCTGAAAGGAGACAGGTGGGAGAGTTTTGGAGGCGTCTGAATTCAGGGGTTGCATTTTAAGTTTGATTGCGAGTCTGAGCTCTGTCTTCTTAATCCCCAGTGAGTCGTGGCGGACGGCTGCTTATACTGAGCCAGGATCCTCTGGAAGTTTCTTCCTGTTAAAAGGGAGTATTCCTCTCCACTGTCACTACATGCTTGCTTAATATGAGGATTGAGTATGTAGGGCTGGGCGATACGGCCTAAAAATCAATATCACGATATACTGAGGACTTCACCTTGATGACAATAGATGGTAACTACAGGTATGCACAGAAACAAAAGTTGTCCACTAGATGAGGCTGTCACATGTATTACTTGAGTCACAACTGTATGTGACTTAATGTGGTACAGCTTCTTAAAGGGACATGAATGTTGCCAACCAACACACATCTTTTCGTTTTTTTATTATCAAATTTACTGACATGGGAAGAATTATCTTGATAAGAGTCAAAATTTTCAATAATGATACATTTTCAATTTATTGCCCAGCCCTACTGTAAAGTCTCTGACACAAGTCAGTGACTCGATGCAATCTTCTGGGCTCCTTATATATTTAAATACTCACAAATGAGCTCGTAATGCAGTTCTCACACCTCTTCATGTATTGCTGTTGACTTTAGTTTTAAATTGTGTTTAGTGCTGTCACGGTTGCAAGGCGACAGAATATATAACGAGGTAGAGGTGTGAATAAATATGAATGCTAAGCCGTCCTAATCAACAGCCGATGAGTCTGTTGTGGAGGACTCAGCCCACGTGGACTGGGTAGGAAGGGTTGATGCTGCCTCTGCATTTGCACACAGTCATTGTTTACCCATCACTGGATGAAAATCAGCAGATCAAATTCAGCAAATGGCTAAAACTCATTCAGTTTTATAGCTGCTCAGCTAAAATGTGACGTGTTTGATGCTACGATTAATTTACAACGAACAGAATGGTTTAGGAAGATCATGTGAAAAAAACTTTATTAGTTCTTGTAAATAAACAATTATGAGTCTGAAAAGCAGAACACAGAAGCTCTACGCTGCTGTTAACTTGATGCTTTTCCTTGTTTTATATCGAACACATTCAGTTTGTTTTACACTCTCAGGTGAACATGTCTGCGTTTCGTAAGTCTACATCAACATCATGGATAAAAGTGTCATCCATGGACGTAATTTTGGGGGGGGGGGACAGGGGGGACATGTCCCCCCCACTTTTTCCAAAGTCAAGTTTTGACCCCTGCACTTTTTACCATCCAAAAACAATATTACGCTATATTAAATTGACACTGGTTGAGCTGTAGGACCAAGCGGAAAGCAACCGTTTGTGTTGAAGCCGGTTTCCTATTAGAACATATTATAAAGATACCCCCCCCCCCCGTGTCCCCCCCACTTCTAAAGTGAAAATTACGTCCTTGGTGTCATCTCCAGCTAGTTCAGACCCAAAACAGCTGATGGGTGTTTGTCCTGCCAGCATTTTGTTTTTGCAACACGTTCACATTTTTACCCTGAAACACAAAAGCGTTTTAGTTTTCATTTAAATCAGTTATCGTTTCTGACATACCTTCAGCTCGTCCTCCAGTTCCAACGCTTTCCTCTGGAGGGACAACTTCTCCTGGGAACCAGAACAGAAACTAATAAACTCAGACCTGTTCTGCTGCGGAACCGCAAAGTTCTCACACGTCAGCGCTTGGTTCACCCCCGAGGCATTACAAGCACCTCAGGTGTGAATTTCAGCGCCTCGCAAAACTGGAGTTTGCAGTAAAAGCCGAGACAGTTTGAACTTACAAATCTCTCCAGCTCGAGCAGAGCCGGTCTGTCTGTGCTGCTCTCCTGACTCTGCAAACAGACAAACAGGAAATAGGTTCGTTCACAAGTTTAAGACAAACTAATGTAACAGGAAGCACAGAAAGCTGAGAGGAAAAGACACACAGCAGCCATCGTTACTGATAAAAGTAACGTTATTAATGCTTATTTATTTGTTAGTTTAATCATTGATCTATTTTAATATCACTTTAGTATTTTGTGATAAAATGTCTCAAGACAATAACTTATGTTTCAGAACAAATGATGTCTCCACAGTGCCTAAGTAACATCTTAATCATATGGGCCAATCATTGCTCTGAAAGGTTTAAGGTTGGTTTATGCTTGACGCGTCTGCGAGGTCCGCACGGCTCCGCGCGGAAAAGTTGCGTCATTTTGACAACCGCGGCTCTCCACCGCGTCTCTACTCGGCCCAAAATTTCCACAACGCGCACCTAGGAAAATTTCTAACCACGCGGATGGTCGGACGCAGATAAACATAGCGGACCGGCAAGAACTAGTATGGCAGAGGTTGGTAAATACAGACATTTGTATGATTCAGCTCTCAGAGATCACCGTGATCAACATGTTGTTAATAATTCTTGGAGAGAAATAACTCGCACTGTCGGAAAAGACGAGGACGCTGTTAAAAATGCTGGAATGCCATGTTGTAAAGTCATTTCTACTTCTGCTATGGTGTAGTGTTGGATGCATGCTGTAGAGCTCCATGCTGCCCCCTACAGTTTGGGAGAATGTTGGCTCACCGCAGAGACGAGCCGCACGAACCATAAACGCTGCAAGTTGTGAAGCGCGTTCCATCCGCGAGCCGCATCACCAAGCGGAAAGTGAATGCGTCAAGCATAAACCAAGCTTTAAAATAGCAGTTCCTCAAAGTATCCGCTCCGTTTGCAGAGACGTGGAGCAAAGACACGCAGGAAGGACGTTTCTCAGCTAGATTCCCAGAGAGGTGCTGGTCCAAGTGGCTGGGGAGAGGTAAATCTGGTCTTTGCAGCTGCCTATAACCCGACTCCAGATAAATGAAAGATAATGAATGAATCAAAGGAGAGGAGACTAGGATTACAGCTATGGCTAAAAGACTACGATTTGTCTGATGGCCATGTCCCAGCAACAATCTCTGGTGTGTGCGAACCACTCCAAGGCAGACTGCTTTTGCCTCACTTCCATCGAGTGCTTTGGTCCAGTTTGCTATAGAGAACAGCAGGATTAGCTTAACTCCTCTGCCACCGTTGCTAAGAATAAAACTGCTGAAACAGCTTTATGTGAGAGTGATTTAGAACAATGAACTCCATGAAAATGTTTTGTATCACTTTGGTCTTGGTTTAGCTCAAACTAGCCATTAGCTTGTCAGTCCTATAGGACATAAACCTCATATCTCTAAACAGAGACGCTTCAGGAAGCTCTACACAGAATCAGACATCAGAATGGGTGAAATACACCTCTAGACTCCCATGGGTTCATCACAAGGCTGAAATACATCCCAACATAAAACCTGCCGTAAACATGAGACTGAGAATTACCACGAAACTTCACCAGCATATATAAGAATTATTATAATTAAATATGCTGAGAAATTGCTAAACATTTAGAGATTTACTGGTCTGATATGCATCATATTCAAAGGTTCACAGTTTATGTATTCCATCATTTTAATGAGTGCAGAGAGACAGTTTGGACGGATCTCCTCCTCGTCTCCGAACGCAGCTCAATGAAGATGTTGCAAAGTAGTATTATGTAGCCTGTAATGTGCCATCTCTGACACACGCACGCACGCACGCACGCACACACGCACGGACGCACGCACGTAAAGGTCAGAAGCAGCAGCAAACCTTCCCAACCTGTCGAAGTCTCTCCAGCTCCACTTTGTTCTGACTGAGCTGAAGCTCCATCTCCTGCAGTTTCTCATTCAGAGACAAGTTCTTCTGCAGAACCTTGATGTACAACTAGATGGAGACACAACCACAGGCATGTTATGACAATATTTAATGACAGTTAATAAGCCTTCTGTGCGTTTTCTTGTTGAAGCAAACCGCCTGCTGAGCATCACTCCTGTCCTGCATTTATCTGACTGTGTTCACATTCAGCCCTCAGGTGTGTTTCTCAGGTATGTGCAGAGGCAGAGTCAGACACATACCTTCTTGTAGTCTGCAGACGGGTCCTCCAGTTGATTCACACTGAAGAAGAAACGGGGAAGAAGCTGTTAAGATTCAGGTAAACCACATTTAGATCTGATGTAGCCACATGAGCTAAAACCCACAGGAGAAGCTTCTAAAATATGTGTGACACATCTGAGTAAAATCTGCTGAGACGGGAAGGAGTGACAGTTAGTTTTAAAAGTATAATATCCTCCCAAGTTTTCCCCAATTCTAAACTTTAAAAATCACCTGAAAATTAGGGCAAATTCATGTCTTCCTTCTCCAATAATCGGCCCTTGACTTGGACAAAATCTTTCACTTTGGACCCTGATGAATCAGTTAAGATTCCTGTGTTAGTTAAATCTATGACAAACACCTAAAAAATGACAGACGAGGATTTAGTCACACTGGTTGTTTCTGAAAGCCTTTAAACACCGATTGCTTTTACAGGACTGACACTCGGCTACGAGAACTGGACCAAAAATGAGAAAGCTCAAAGAAATTCTATGAATCCAGAAAAAAGGAAAAATATCTCAAGACTTCAAATCAAGCCTTCAGGAACCTGTTTTTACATTTAGCATAAAATATCAAATGAAATCCCAGATTTTCCACTGATAAAACATCAGTTTCTACATTAACTCAGACTCACTCAGTGCTGTGGCCGTTTGCATCTTCTAGTTGAGTGTCAACGTCGTCGTTCTGAAAAACACGAGGGTTCAACCTGAGAGGTCATCAACAACATACATCTCATCATCGATCGAGCTGAAACTCAGGAAGCTTTCAGGTGGAAACAATTTTCTGCCGCAGATTTGATATTTTAGAGTAAACTGGTGATTAAAACATGCAGCAAGCTCTTCTGCGGCACTTCTCTGTAAAAAGGAGGTCATGCACAATTTTCCACCACCAGATTTTAATTTAGAGCATTTAAATAAGCTAAGCCACCTTGAGTTTTTTGTTTATTTAATTTACACACTCCCAAAAGACAAACGTTCCTGGATGTACTGGTTTCTCACTGAGCTGCGTTCACAAGCAAGTTTTCAATATGTCAAGTGTTCACAAGGTGTGTTAACACACTGCTGAAGTTTGGAACATTTTCAATAAAACTACGTGACAAATAGGGTTGGGAATCGTTTGATTTTGAACGATTCCGATTTTAATTCCTCGTTTCGATTCCGGTTCCTATCGATTCCCAATTCCGATTCTTTCAAGACATGACATGTTTTAAATGAGCCAGCTAACCACAGGTCCTACTTGATGAAATAATCTTAACTTCAACATGAATTTTAATTCTATGAACAACAACATCACCTTCATTTAGACAGAAACATGTTTTGGAGAAAAAAAGAAAAAGACTTGCAGCACAACCAGGGTGTTTGTTTCTGACCACAACCAAAGTCTGGAAGAAGCCTCTGGGATGAGAGGCTAAATGTCTCCAACATATCCAGGAACGTCCAGCTGTTTCCAGCTAAAACTCTCAGGATGATCACGTCCAGGATGACTACAACTACACCTCCATGCTGCAGCAGCATTCAGTCAGAAAAGAAAGTGAAACTTAAATTTAGCTGCTGTCAGTAACAATCTAACATATTTTAAACATTAAAACTCTCAACAGAAATAGTTCAGAAAGGAAATTAAAATGTTCACAACTTTGTGTGTCATTTATTATTGTTATTAAAATTATTTATTGTGGCAGAAGCTGGTGTGGTCCACCACAGAGAAAGCTGCTCTAGCATGATGACTTTAATTATTCTACAGGTTATTGTTCAGCCTTTGACGCGCGCGCACGCACACGCACGCACGCGCACGCACACACACACACACACACACACACACGCACACGCGCACACACACACACACACACACACACACACACACACACACACACACACACACACACACACACACACACACACACACACACACACACACACACACACACACACACACACACACACACACACACACACACACACACACACACACACACACACACACACACACACACACACACACACACACACACACACACACACACACACACACACACACACACACACGAGTGTTGGTGAGCGGCTGCGTCTGACTGCTGACGCTCTGTGTGTGTTTTTATTTCTGCAGTGAGACAAACTCGCCTCACACTGTCCAGAGTTTGTTCCTTAAAGCTTCTATTAAATCCACCGTGTTGACGTATTTTAACAAGTTTCCTCTACGCTGCAGGAATTAAAAGTTTACATAACAGAGTAAAAGTTCGGCAGAAGCATTTGTTTATGTCTGGGTGGGGGGAGGGGGGACTCGGTGCTGCACACAGACAGCTGGTGTGATCAGCTCTGAAAAGCGTTGATCACAATTTGCAGATCACCTTTATTTTTCCACGGAGATCGGCCACGGATTCCTCTTCCGTCGGCATTCTAGGAATCGAAACTAAGAATTGAAATAAAAAACTTTAAACGATTCCAGGGAAAACTAACAGTTGGTCACGGTTCCAATCGATGCTCGATGCCCAACCCTAGTGACAAATTTTCCCTTAGAGGAGTCAAAGTCCTCACAGGTGTCGGAAAGTGTAACAAATGTTAGATAACGTAAAAGAGAATAAAGTTAATTTGCAAAAACTGCTGTAACTGGGTTATGGACTCCACAAGACTTGTCCCAAAAAGTGTCAGATGTCAGATGCCAATTGAACCTTTCAAACACCTAGTCCGGGGGGCGAGACAAGCTCAGATACGCCTGAATAAGGACGTACAAGTCAGCTGGAGGAGAAAGTAGCTTCAAACGGCATGTTTTGGACTCTTATTTCCTGATATTTGGACATCTCGCCTCTGATTGGCTAACAGCAACGTGACAATACCACTGACTGGCGTTTTATCTGCACAAATAACAAGCCTGGAGGTGTGTGGTGGAGTTGCTAATGCAAACGGTTAGCTTATACTAGCCGAGATGTTCTCTGCCGTTTCCTGGATGCTAAACCAACAACAGCTTTCTCCGTTGCTAATCAAGATGGGTGAGTGCATGAATGCTAACTGATAGTGTGAAGTAGACATATCAGGCTTTTCTAATCCTAGAGTTTCACCGTCTATTTTCTATCAGAGGCTAATGCAGGAGATAGGTGTAGGAGACTATTTCATGTTCAGCCTGCATGAAAAACTCAAAGCAACTGATTATAATCAGAAATAATCATTAAATGTTTTTCAGTGTTCCACAGCTTTAATGTGAAGTTTCCTTCTACATTGTCACTACATGCTTGGCGACACACGGACACAAGTCTGTCAGGTTTTCTTAGACAGAACACTTTTAACTAATTGGCGTAATGAACTGTGGTCAATGCACTGATAATTGTTTCAGTTGGACTGTTTACTTTATAAAGTGATTTGACTTTATATATATAAAAAAACTGAATTGAACATTTTTTTGTTTCTACTCTATAACCTGTTCCAGTCCAGTAAGACTCGGTCTTGATGTTTTACTTCACTAAACATAATCTGTATTATCAGATTAAGCAATCCTGAGAACAGCTAAAACGAACCAACCGTTTGACTTTCAGAGTAAAATCAGTGAAGTGATTATTGAATGTGAGAGGGTGAAGTCCGCCCCTCCCTCTGTGAAAACCCCTCAGAAGAAACATCAGAGTTTTTAACTTCCACTAAGAGAAGTTCCTGTTTTCTAAGGACTTGTTCCGCTGCGCCCTGACACCTCTTTGACCTAAAATGTGGTTGCATATAAACTGATGTGTTTGCTGAAACCAGCTGATAACCGTTTGAGACGTTTCTTACTTCTCCCAGCTGCACGATGCCAGTGGAGCGTCTCTCCTTCCTCTGCTTCCTCCTGTAATTAATTCCCAAGCGTTTATCTCCATCCGACTCCACCTGCTTTATCGGGTCGGTGTCTGAAACCAACAGAGAGAAACAGGGAAGCAACCAGGAGGGTCCAAGACTAAATAATACAGCTATGAGAATTAAACCAGAGTGGAAATTTGCTCCAAAACCAGGAACATCAGCGGTTTATCATCAACTCGCCCCTCAAACAAACGCTGAGGTTTTAGAAAAGCAGCATCAGTTAACATAAACACAACAGAGACAAAAACAATGAAACTGATTTGTTTTGGGCTGTGAAAAAAAGAAGCCAGATTTTCATGTAATCCAGACTTTCTGAAGGCTCTTAAGAGTCTTTGTGGAGTTTTTCGGCCTCTTTTAACTTATTTTCCTATCCGTTCCTTCAAAAATCCTGTAAAACTATTAATCAGAACCACCTTAAATAAAGAGTAATAAGGATGTTTGGCTGCTTGGAAGAAGAATATGAATAAATAAGAACTGGATGAATTTTAAATTCCTGTTTTGTGTTTAGGAGCTCATCAACACACCAGGTTTAAGTTTAGAGGCTGACTTGCTTATTACAAGGTGGTGCAACACATCCGGTACATAGCTCCTGTGCAACAGAGGTCACTGAAAATGTTGCAACAGGAAAAAAAAAAAACCAAAAAAACACAACGTTGCACAAATATCACAAACCCACACCGTGTAAATTATGCTCAGTTAAAAGACTCAGTTTCAGCATAACATTAATATTAATTCATAATAATAAAAAAAAACTCTTCAGAACATCTGACCCAGAACCAAACTTCGGGATGTTTGTGATGCTTTTGGACTGAACGGGGTTGTAGAGCTGAGTGAGAGAATGACCTGAATCTCTGCTCCAGTCCAGCAGAAAGTGTATCGTGGTTGTTCTTGATGAAATATTTCATCAAACCTCAGCAGTGCAGAATCAGTTAAAGGGACTTGGTTTCATCTCAAAGGCGAATCCATGAAGACGTTACAAGTCTGGACAAGTATGCAGCGCAGCAAGTGCTTTAAGAGGCAAAGGTCTGTACGCTCTGTGCTGCTGCACTAATTGTTTTTAACAAATGTTCTTTTAGGTTATTTTCCTACTTCAGCCATCAGAATGTGCCTGCTCTGATAAAAATAAATAAAAATAGACAAAAAAATAAAGTTTGGTATCTTTTCTACACACACAATAAGATAAAACTACAGTAAGAAGCAGGCAGCAAAACAAAACAGAGCAACAAATGTCTGTTTACTCTTCCTACTTTACTTTAAATAAAAACATGGATGAACCCTTTAAACCAACCACAACCATAAAGTCCCCTGAAGTGGAGGAGGTCGTTTTAATCTGCCACATGCTTTAGTTCCCACCGAACTAAAACTGATAAACTAAGGTGGAGTTTTTCGAGCAGCGATCTGAAAACCACTGACCAGCAGCAGCAGCAAAAGCCCTCAGCAGAGGTGAGAAAAAAACCATTTCCACCCTCAAACAACCTCACAGCTCGCTCATTATGTCATGTTTTTTTAGAAAGGAGTGAGGCTTGTTAACGGGAAGTCTGAATAATAATAAAGGTTACACTTAAAAACAGTTCAAACACATTAGATCGTACAATATTTAAATATATGCTAAATGCATTTCAGCATAAACAAAAGTGGACTACAAAGACTTTTACTAGTTTATAAAAAAATAAACATTTGATACTTAAATATTCTTTAAAAGAAAAACACTTAAACTAAACAAGTCAAAATGAAAGAATATGTTTCCTGTTGAGGAGCAACATTAGAATCTCTTTAAAAAAACATCCAACTTTGTTGGTGAAACCAAGAAATAACAGGTTCATAACGTTTGACCGTTTTGTACTTTATTACTTCAGTCCAGGTTGTGAGCAGAAACTAGACATTACGAGTCATATGTAAATAAAAAAATTAATAAATAAATAACTTGTTGACCAGAGCGAATGATGTTTGTAAACCAGAAACAGTAGGGATATAATATTTTATGCGATGCAATGGAAAATGTTCAAAATTAATCTAATGTTATAAAGAATATAAAAAGCAGAGCAAAAACATGACAGTGCAGCATCTGGACCATTTGAGGAGCACATAACAGAGAGAAGTTCTACCCATAGACATGAATACTTAAACACACTATTGGGTGCTGGAGAGCGTAATTGGATGTTCCTCACTCTCCAAACTCAACTTGAGTCAATGCAGAGTGAGCAACTATGCCCGTTTTTTGTTCAGCCTATGGTTGCAACAATTATTGCAATATTAAAAACAAATCTCGTGGGATTATTATTGACTTTTCTAGCCTACCTGTTGGGATTTTATATTTGAAATTATTTTATGAAATATTTTTAACTAACATGCCATACTATATGAAAAGCATAGTAAAATGTGTTTTATGTCTTTTAGACAGGTAGGCACCTTCAGTAGAAATAAATGCAATGAGGTTGAATGGGGACCCATCCAAGATGGCGGCCCGCTGCTACGTCAGGTCCAATAAGAAGCCCCGATCCATGGGGTGTCTGTGGTTCTATCTGTGTGTGATAAACATGGAGTTGTTCCTCCTCCTCCAGTATGTCTCTCCCTCACCGCTTTAGTTGAAAGAACCGAGGCAGATTAACGCATGAAAGATTAATCTGTCCAGGATTATATGGGTGGTTGATCTCTGAGGAACTTTTAAAGTTGTTTGCAAGAACTCCGTTTCCTCTGTGAGAGCTTTTAGTGTTTATCAGTTTGGACAGATTTTAATCCTGTATGGGATTATAACAATTTAAACAAGGTTTTGTTTGTCAGTAGAAACCAGCTCTGACTGGAGTTAGAACCAAACTGGGGCTTAACTGGATTGCAATGAACCCAAAACATTAAATAATCTTTAAATTAAAGCTGCAATAGAAAATCTACAGAACAAGCTAACTTTTGAACACAAACCCATGGCCACGTCCACCTGATACCAGAACCTGCACCGCCAGAGGAAACAAGAGAGCGCTAAACACCAGTCACCGTTTTCTACGTCCAAATGTCTTTTCTTGTCCAAACTTCAAATGGTGTTTATCTTTTTGGGACTCTGGTAGTTTGCCCTAGTTCTGGTAGTTTGCCCTAAAGTTGAAGTGGTAGCAGCCGTCGGTTTCTCCTTCTCTAATATTATTGAGTGGAGAACCTCCCACACCAGTGGTGTTCTGTTGAGTGTGTAATGAAGGAAGGATTCGGCGAGACCAACAACCAGATGGTCCAATTGTTGGTTTTGGACCGAGTCGTGTTATTAGCTAAGGCAGTGGCGGTTCTACATCGAATTACTCCCCGGGCGAGGCCCCCTTTTGATAATGTCATCATATGAAATCTGCTCCCCTACTGAGTGATTGATACTAATCAGAGCCAGGTTAGTGAGCCGCCCCTGAAACATAGGTGACCTCAGGTATGACTTGATCAAGTTTTGAAAAGCTTCTCTCAGCTTGAGCCACAGTGACTGGCAGTCCAAAAGTTGGGGTAGATCTCCAATAGATCTCATGATCCATAATATTTTAGAATTGCCTCTGAAATTGTAATTTAAACTGACATAAAAAACTGTAGACCATCAAAAATGCCAACTTTTACAGAACAAATCAGGTAAAAAATAATCAGTGCAGCCATCTGCAATAAATAAACAGGATAGTTAGTGGTGACTGGGGAGTTTTCTTCTGCTTGTAGAATTGTTTTATTTATTATTATGTGAACATGATCAACATGTGTTTGTTGTTGTTCAGGCAGGCCACAGGCTGCAGTGAGCATTTAACAAATCCTAGTTTGAATCAGTAAAAAACGATTCAAGGAATTTTTTCGAACCATTTGAATATTCGTTACAATATTTCAGCCCTATTAGCTCTGTTAGCAATTAGTTGACCGCATTTAACCGTTAAAATCCCAGTTAACTGGTTCAAAAAATTGAAAACATGCATCATGAGAGCTACATACCTTTATCTTTCTCCTCTTTTTTCTTTTTTTTCCCCCTGAATGGGGCACCTGGTGGTTTTAGCCTTTTTATGTTCATCTCTTCTGTTTGGCTCCTGACTCGTTTCCTTTAGTCAGGACTAAACAATTTGACGTTGATGGGGGGGTGACCACAAAATCGTTTTGTTTTTCCTTTTTTTATTCGGCCATTTCACACAATTCAGAGAAACCTGAAAGAATGATAGGCCTGTGTTTATGATATTATGAATGAAATATGGAAGAACGTTAAGATGTGATTGACTTTAGCCATGTTAATACAGTTGATTCAGCCCCTGCACGCTCATTTCATTTGGGAAAGACGCAGAGGTGAATTCCCCCGCCGCACCCCTCCCCTTCCTGTTCTTCAGACACACGGTGCACGTGAACGTTCTCAGTCAGCAGGAGTGCCTGCAGCTGCAGGGGGCGCCAACTTGCTGTTTCCAATCCAGACACTGTCATATGACAGATAATAGAAAACCTCGGTGCGGCGCAGATTTCCTTTTTTTTTTTTACTCCGCGCCTGTGCGCCCCTTTTGTGTCATGAAAAAATGCCGCCCCGGGCAATTGCCCTGTCTGCCCGTGCCTAAAACCGCTACTGAGCTAAGGTTTTAGACAAATGCTCGGGAACCAATTCATTACTTTTTTGTTCGTTTTTTTTATCTCTACAATACATTAATAGCTATACAACGTTACAACATTGTTAAGAGGCATGACATTTTTTTCAATCCAGTTTATTTTGCAGATAGGCCATTGTATCTTTAAACAAAAACAAGTGAATCATAAAACCTTTTTGTATGAAAAAGGTGATTTAAGTTCAGTGAACTCATTTTTAACCTAGAGATTATTTATTTTTGTTTTATTGATAACAAATTATTGGAAGTAATTTAGTTTTGTGTCATAAAAAAACTTTGAAAGCAACAAAGTCACTCAAGAGTAGGTGAGGTGGTAGAAAGATGCATCGATAGTTGTTCTATAATCATATCGAAACCCTCTGAATCATAGCGGAACCATAAAGAGCCTGAACCCAGTCCCGTCCTAACTCACCTCTCTCAGCAGGTGTGAAGGTGACGATGGGGCTCACAGTCTGGATGTTCCGAGCTAGAGTTTCAATAGCTTTACTGACGTTTTTTTCTGCTTCTTTCAGGTCCGTCAGCGTCACGCCCTGCAAACACAGAACAAAAACCTAACCACTCAGATTCCTTCAGTTCCTTTAAGAACTTTTAAAATGTAAATAAAAACAAATAAGACTGACTTATTAGCAGCTAGATTCGCAGCTTTTTCCTGCTTTTAGTGTAAATGATTCCCTGTTGGTTTTGTTGTTTAGAGATTTGTTCAAGTGGGAATAACTAAAATAAAAAAAATGTGTTGGAGCAAATAAAATCCCATCAGCAGAAATAACCGAGTAATCGGAAAAAATCTGAACGTGTTAATTATCTGTCCAAGCGGAGATCACAGAACAGAAAGATATTTAACAGAAAGATTGAGAATGGAGAACATGTTTCTGCCCGGGCCTTTTAGACACGACACACTGAGCCTTTCAACTTTAGTGTGTTTTCATAAAAAATAAAAACGTGTTTACTGGGGGATCATTTTTAGCTTTAACACAACTGTGAGCTGGTGATTGGGTTAAACACCAGCTGTGGAAATACGTTAGCATTAGCATGTTAGCATAAGTAGTTGGTTATATTCTTAAATGTTTTAAATTGGAATAGTATGGTTGACTCCTCAAGTGGAGGAGTTTAAGTATCTCTGGGTCTTGTTCACGAGTGAGGGAAAGCTGGAGCGTGAGATCGATAAGCGGATTGGTGCTGCATCTGCAGTGATGCGGGCGTTGTACCGGTCTGTCGTGGTGAAGAGAGAGCCGAGTCAGAAGGCGAAGCTCTCGATTTACCGGTCGATCTACGTTCCTACCCTCACCTATGGTCATGAGCTTTGGGTAGTGACCGAAAGAACGAGATTGCGGATACAAGCGGCCGAAATGAGTTTTCTCTGAAGAGTGGCTGGGCTCTCGCTTAGAGATAGTTAGAGATAGAGTGAGAAGCTTGGGCATCCGGGAGAGGTTCAGAGTAGACCCGCTGCTCCTCCACATCGAGAGGAGCCAGTTGAGGTGGCTCAGGCATCTGGTCAGGATGCCTCCTGGACGCCTCCCTGGTGAGGTTTTCTGGGCAAGTCCAACCAGGAGGAGACCTAAAGGTAGACCCAGGACACGGTGGAGGGACTATGCCTCTCACCTGGCCAGGGTACACCTTGGGATTCCCCAGAGGAGCTGGCCCAAGTGGCTGGGGAGAGGGAAGTCTGGGCCTCTCGCCTTAGGCTACTGCCCCCGTGACCCGACTCTGGATAAGCGGATGAAAATGGAGGGATGGTTGACTGATTCAGTAACAAATAAAAAATAGTTCAAAATGAATACGTTGATGTTGCTGTAAAAATTCTGTTATGTAGGAACAGGAAGTTACTAAGATAACTTTTAGGTTATTGTATTAGGCTATGCAAAGTTTGGATAGTGGAAAAAAGCCTTAAAGCTATTAAAAAGGTTCTGTATGAAAAAAGTTCTTAAAACAACAAGAAAAGCAAGTATGGTCCAAACGCTTCATAAAGGAACTAAAACACAAAATCTTTTGAGAACAATGAAACTACATTTTTGCCTTGTATTCATTAAGCCTATTAAACAGGATATTTCAAAGTTCTGTTTTCAATTCATTTAATAAAATTCACACAGAATGTCGTTTTGAAACGGTGATGAAAAAATCCAAAATGGAGAAACGAGTTAGTGAACTTCTAATCTTAAGGTCCACGGCGTCGGTTTAATGCATCTTAAAGTCCACGGCGTCGGTTTGACGCAGACAGTTTTTAAAACCTCCACTGTGACATAAACAGTAGCTAGCTCCTAAACTGCAGATAAAAATATAAAATTCTATTAAATTTCTCTCTACAGCGTGTTTTTTTTACAATCATCATTTTGACAGCATCATGAGCTGTGACTCCCGAGTGAAGGTTTATATAAATGAATGAATGAATAAATGAATCTTTAATTTGGGAGAGGCCCCTCCGTACTTAGCGGCGCTCCTGAAAAGATATTTGCCTTCACACTCTCTGCGCTCTTCTGATCAGGGCCTCCTTGTAGTCCCTTGCGCTAAGTGTCGACCTCATGGGGGCCGGGCTTTCTCGGTTCTAGCCCCATCACTGTGGAACCAGCTGCCACCTGCAATTAGGCTGTCTACCTCTTTGCCGATCTTCAAGAGTCGACTGAAAACTAACTTTTTTGGTTGAGCGTTTCCAGAACATGTTTGAAGTCGGCTTGCTTTTATGTTATTTTTAATTCTTGTTTTAAATTGCTATTTTATTTCTTGTAAATTCGCTTTAATTCATTGTTTTATTCCTTTGTCTTATGCTCCACGCTTTATTTTCGGTGTTTTAACTTTGGGTGTGGTCAGAGGGACTGGTGGTGCCAGTGCTCGGCAGCCTCGCCTCTGTCAGTGCGCCCCAGGGCAGCTGTAGCTACATTGTAGTTCATCCCTACCAGCGTGTGAATGACTGATTGTGTTGTGAAGCGCCTTAGGGTTGTAGAACCCTAAGAAGGCGCTATACAAATACAGGCCATTTAACTTATCTTTTCATGATTGTATGTCTTTCTATGATTCAATTCAAGTTTATTTATATAGCGCCAAATCACGACAAGAGTCGTCTCAAGGCACTTCACATAATAAACATTCCAATTCAGGTCAGTTCATTAAGCCAATCAGAAATAATGTTTCCTATACAAGGAACCCAGCAAATTGCATCAAGTCACTGACTAGTGTCAGTGACTATACAGCAATCCTCATACTAAGCAAGCATAAAGCGACAGTGGAGAGGAAAACTCCCTTTTAACAGGAAGAAACCTCCAGAGGATCCTGGCTCAGTATAAGCAGCCATCCTCCACGACTCACTGGGGATCGAGAAGACAGAGCAGACACACACACACGCACACACAAAGACAAGTAATATAAATATAAAATTTCTTATACGAATGTGATGTGTTCCAGCGCCTTAGGCACCCAAATAGGGTTGTGGAAGGCGCTATATATAAACAAAGATTTGATTGATTGAGTAACGTGATGAAGTAGCTAGTCCACTGAAAGTTATTTACCCTCTCTCCTCAGGAAGAACTAATCTGCATGAGACTGCCTCACAGGGTATCTGCAGGTTTAAGGGAGCCAAACTTAACACTTTTTAAGACCATTTTTAAGGCCATTTTGACCAAATTTAAGCAATTTTTTAAAATCAAATTTAAGCTATAATTTCCAGCTAATTGCCTGGAACCGGGGCTAACCACGTCGCCAACGTGGGATAAGCCATCCAGTTACCATTAAACTTTCACTTCTCCATGGTGCAAGCTCCCACTAGCTTAACCAGCTAATGTGCTCATCTAAAAATAGCCCACTTTCACAACCAACTGAATGTGTATGGTTCCGCTTATGTCAATATCATACACAAAAAATGCTGAACACCAACTAGAAATTTATGAAAATTTTATAGAAATAAAATAATCTTATTTAATGGGTCTTTGGACATTAAGACCTTTGCAAACTGTATTTAAGGACTATTTGTTATTTTTAAGGATTTTTAAGGCCTTAAATTTGGAAAAGCAAATCTGAAGACTTTTTAAGGACCCGCGGATACCCTGGCCTCAAGGTCATGCATTTGCATCTAAAACTGTTTCCAGCTCATAAGAAAGAAGACAAACTCTTTCTTTTTAATAAATCAAAGAACTCTATTTTGATAAAGCTAATCAAACAAAGTGTTAGTCCAATAACAAGATGTGAACCAATCTGTGAAATGACAATGGTTATGATCAATTTTAATAAGTTATAAGACTTTAATCTAGCTGCACTAGACATACTGATACACGTACTGTAAGTCACAAGACACATTTTATTTTTCTCATCCAATCGGAACCTTCCTTTCTGAAGCGTGGCATAGTCTCTGTGGTGTTTATAAATCTGTCAAACTCTGATTCGACCATAAATCAAAACATCCAGATTAATAAAACCAGTCCTACGCCATCTTAAGCCAGTTCACCGCATTCTAAGAGAAGTGTCGGACCGGCCACCCGGACTTCCTCTATAAGCAAAGAACTAACAAGCTGGATAAATTCTGTTGCACTTTACCAACCAAGCAACGGTTCCTTTCAGAATAAAAGCTGAACTCACTGACCCTCAGGGTCCATCTGACACTGTCAACCAACTGTCGCTTTTTACCTGGAGAAAATCCAAAGACTAGTCTGTTGTATTGCTGACGCTGTTTCATCGGCTCCGGTACCTAAGGGGGGTGCGAGGACCTGGCATTCTGGATCTGTACGGAGGTCTCATCCTAAGGGTATGTGTGGAGCGACAAAATGGCATCTCCTGTGTTTATGAAACTCCGATCATAGCTTAAGTGCAAAACATCATGTCCCACTCAGACTTGCTTCTCCGGATACGAGAGTTCTGATGACAACATCACTCACACATACACCATTCATCTCACGTCTCATTCACACCAAGATCCATTCATCACCCAGAGTTTAGAGTTAGTCTTGTTTAAAATTGTTTAGAAATAAATCTTCTTTAACGTTTTAAAGGTGACTCTCTCTTCTCTTGTCTCTCAGTTAATACGAAGTGGTTACATAATCCCTGCAATAAAAAGTTCCAGTCTTCTGGTTAAAATTACCCAAAGATTCATAAGATTGATTTCAAATTTCCTGTGGAATCACACATCTTATGGTTCATTAAATAGATGTAAATTAATTCATTACAAATGATTGATTGATTGATGTAGTACCTGTGTGGAGCGGCGAGTCTGGCGCAACAACCGAGACCGAACTTTCCTCTGAGACTCAGACTCCTCGTCTCTAACTGGAGGCTGAAATCTAAAGACAGAAAATTTGTTTTATAAAAAAACAAACTGGATCCTCCCAGCTTCCAGAAGCAGCAGCTGAGTAAAAAAAAAACAAAGTTTCATTACTGTTTGGATTGTTGTTTCTTTTCCATGTTTGGACTCTCGGCTAAAGCGTCCTTCATCTGAGGAGTTGGTTGGACTCTGGCGGTACGGCTCATCTTGTCCTGCTCCTGCTCCTTCTCCTCCACATCCTGGTCTTTCTCCTCGGATGTCTGGACCACGTTAGAGAAAAACAAAGGTTAGGAGGTTAAATACATCACCAAAAAAATTTAACCAATCAAAAGAGAAACGCCTGCACAAACAGTTTAATCCTGATTTTATCTGCTAAATTTCACATTTAAAAAAAAAAATAATGTTGCTGCCATTTAGAAATCAAATGTACTATTATAAATATATAAAAAGATGCTACACATTCGGTTTTTAGCCATAATTAAAAATATTTTAATCAAGAGTTAACATGCAGACTTAAATGCTAATGATAAAAAACTTCCTCGATGAGGACCAGTTAATTCCTGTCAGAACTGGAAATTTACTTTCTAGCGTGTCAGCACAAATAAGGAACTTTGAGTTTGTTTTTTCCTCACAGCTGATTGCATCACATACAACCTAAAAGCAAAGAGCAAAACCGTAGCCGGGGCTCGTTCCTGATGGCATCTCAGTCCTGAGAGAGGTAAACTATTTCTTTGAACAGAGGCTGTACAGAGAGCAGTAGAAACGTCATTATTTATAACTTTTATGCAATAAAAAAGTCCCTTTAAAGGCTGATTCTGGGTCAAACTAAACACATACCTTAACCTGCATTTTAACTCCCTGCAACATCTGATAAACCGCAATACCCATAATGCCTCTGTGATATCAGATCACAGAGGCACAGAAGGTCATAAACATAATGACCTTAGGGTTCAGTCAAAGCAAAACCATGTTTGTCTTGTTTTTTTAACTGATTTACATAAAATGCATACATCAGATTCGTTGTTTTGTCATTTTAACTGAGTGGATTTAAAGCGTTCGAATGTTGAGGAAGTTAATGTTGCCAGCCAGGAAGTGGACTGAACCACAGACTGTCACATTATGGTTCGTGTTTTGAGTTTGAGTCACTTTCTCCCTTTTTGCTCATCAGTTTCCTCTGTCTTCCATTTTATTTGGTGGTTGCGTTAGCGCCGTGTTGCCAACAGTAATCCAGGATCGCTCCTCTGACTTTATTCACCCTCATTTTTGTGTTTTCTTTTAAAGATTAACCTGCTTGGGGTGTTTAACGTGTGACCTTACATTGAACTTTTACCATAACCATTGCTTTAAAACAGGTTAGCTGTTTTAACACAATTTTTGGATAACATCACTTTGATTTTCACCTTTTCAGCAGGACTGACGGTAGATGCTGTCACACTCTCGGAGTCTGGACTGGACACAGTGGAGCTTTCTGAGATGAAACCAGCATTTTTTAGTAATCGGCATGAAACCCTAAAGCACTGAGGTCGGGGGTTGAACAGGGTTACCGGGGCTGCTCTCCTTCTCCTCGCTCAGCTCCAGGCCTCCTGAAATGCCCCTCTCTTTGGACTGGTCCTGAACGCTCATCTTGTCTTTACTGCTCATCCTGCACACCGAACTCCTGGGGAAGAAAAACACACAAATGGGAAAAGTAAAAAACCTGGAGGCAGTACGAGCTGACACGTCTCAGGGGTTGGGACTCTGGTTGTTCGCACTCTAGTTGTTATTGTGTATTTCACTTTATTAGTGTTATTGCAAGTGGTTTGAGTTGGTTACTAAACGTATTGTTTTAAAAGGAAGTCAGGCACATTCCCGAGAACACTCAACCACCATTTACAGTTAAGATATTTTAATAAGGAATAAAGTTAAGGAATTATATTAACCTCCGCCGCTTGTTCTGTGTGTTTGCAGCATTGGATCCAGCTTGGTTCTGCCTGTCTGATATCGACCGTTCATTACGCCACTGTAAGACAGAAAAACATCACTTATTAGAGGAAAAATCAAACAAAATATCACCAAACAACATAAAAAGGCTCCTTTACATTGGCTTGTTTTTGTGACAACTCCTCTAGGAGATCTGTGAGATTTTCATCAGCCACGTCAAAAGGTGTCTGGCCCTGTGGCGATCAAACAAGACAAAAATCTGATTTAAGATAAGCAAAGAGGTTGAAAATAGAAGTGCGGGGTGGGGGAGGGGTATTCTGAGGGCCTCACCCCGTTGCTGCGAGCCTCCATGTTGCACAGTTGTTCGGCCAGAACGCAACATGCCTCCGGTTGACCCCAGTGAGCGGCGGCGTGGAGGGGCGTCCAGCCGTCAAAGTCTATAGCAGACACGTCCAGCCCACACTGACACAGTATCCTGACGGAGCAAATTCAGTTAAAATAAGGATAGCTGGAAATCTGGATAAGGACTAGCTCAGAATGTTGAAGGTGTGTTTTTTCTTTTTACTTTAGGGCCTCCAGGTAGCCTTTGGCTGCAGCCACATGCAGCGGTGTGGCGCCGGTTCGAGGGTTTCGGACATCAGCAGGCAGCCCTTCGCTCAGCCAAGTCCGAGCATCAGCCATCATCTGCTCCTCTTCTCTACGCTTAGCTGCTTCCAAGTTCACTCCTGAAACAAATCACAAGATGCAGAAGGTGTGAAAATGGGTGATAAACCGATTCTGGTTTTCTGGGCTAATACTGATTCATGTCAGAGAAACGGTGAATAAAAAAACCTTAATTTATGTTTCTGGTCTAAAAAATCTACATGCATCACAACTTAAATGATCGAACAGCTCTGAACAGCAAATTACTGGATACAAACACATTCTGGTCTACCGTTTCTTGGTTATGCAATGTGCAGGCTGTGATATCCATGTATCTGTGCTCCATTGATAAGCCTGTGGTCACGTAACTCAATAATTAACACATTTCTCGTTTATACTAATTTGAATTGTAATCATACGCTCCAAACAACAATTTTATTACTGTTAAATTCTTTATTCAAAGCCATTTTTGTCCTTTTTAATCAAGCTTAAAAAGTTGACATCTATTAAAATGTGCAGTAAAAAGAAAACATTCTATGTAGAAATAGGTCCAACCCGCTCTCTCACTCCACATCCCCACTGGTGAAGTGAGTCCAACACAACACAAACAAAAGATGGCGACTCACCCAGTTTTTGAGAATAATCCTGGAGAAGAGTGTCAGTGGCTTCATCCAGAGCGATGTCCAGGGGAACGTCCCCGTCACAGTTCACAGCAGTGAGAGATGCACCTTTCTGCAAAAGGAACCTGAAAACGCAAACCGTAGAAAAATAAAACTAAATTCCTTTAGAACAGGAACTCCTGATGCTATCAGTCAGTCATGTTATCTGTGTTTGTGCTTCTGATAGCTGCCCAGCCTCTCTGTGGGGGTGGAATCTAACAAAGAACAAGCTTCTGCAGAAGAAGGAAGAAAAACCAAATCTGTTTTCTAATCTTTAGGTTTCTGGACCACTCACGCTTTAGCTGGCGTGCGGTCTTGCCAAACATGACAACAATGTTAGCATTGTGGAGGGCAGAAATATCTCAGCACCCACGCTGTGCTCTGACGTCCCTACAGCGACAAAGGCTGATGAAGTGCTGCAAGTGTTTGGGAACATTTTACACACTCGACTATGTCTGGGTTGCCGCAGGAGGAAGCGACGTGCAGCGGCGTCCATCCCTCACTGTCGACCTGGTTTACCGAGGCACCGTGATCCACCAGGAAGGTCACCATCTCTATGCTGCCGTCTATGCAGGCCTGCAAGAGACAAGAAATGATAAAGCAGGTTATTTGTGGTTCTCTTAGAGGGGGAAATATCCAAGTGAGCTGTTCTCGTTAGAAACCAAGCTGCAAGGCACGCAAACGGAAATCAGTATTTAGATAAATATCAGAGCCTCAAACCTCAGAGGCTCACCCTGACCCTTTAGTCCTCTAAAACTAAATAACAATGACATCGTTTATTATATTCTGCTTTATTAAATGGACATATTTCAAATACAAAACTAAATATTTATGAGACTAGACCACCACGAATTTCTGCTGATGACATTTCACATTTCTTCTGTACATTAGGTTTTCCATGCCAGTGGTTGAAGAATACCAAATTTCACATTAAATTCCAAAAGTGTTGGACACAAAAAAATTTATTAAATGTGTTCAAATAAACAATCAGTTTATACAAACTCATAGAAAAGTCAAGAGGACGGAATTCACAGTGAAGCTGAGAGTTTTTATGAGGGAGGACTTAATGCAGCTGTTTTTTTCGAACACCCGGACTTGTTACAGAGCGTGACTTGATACGAGACACCACCTAAAAGATGGAGCAATAAACACCAGTTTTCTTTTAATTCTTAGGGATTTACTGAGTTTTGGCAGGCAGAACACTAAAGGCTTTCCTCTAGTGTTTCTGAAAAGTAGTTTGTGTAAATATATCAATCCCAAAACAGACTAACCCCCAAATTCCACTACCTTCGCCCCCGCCCTCCGCAGCCGCTCGCTTCCGAACTCAATTTTTACTGGTACCCGCTCTACAACGGCTCCGCTCCGGTGCGGAGACCTGAGGTGGGCAAATAAGCATGCGCGGGATTTTCGAAATCTTGCAATACAGTCAGAGCAATAAACGCGGAAGTTAGATCCAAACACCCGTTGTGTGGGAGAAGCATCGAAATGAACTGTTTAATCTGCCCATCATTTGTGTTGAGAGATCAGCAGTGTTTGGATCAACAAAGTGTGACTACTTTGATAGTGGAAACTGTATTTATGGCTTACTTTTGTGCATTTAAACTTCAGCCGCCATTGATAGTTGTTAAAAGTTGTTAAACCTGTGCATATGAAACAAAAAACGCATTTTGTTTATCGATGTATTGTGAAAAACGGAAGTTGTGCTTGCTCCTTTTCCTGTTGGACGGTTGTGATTTCTGTCCATTTACTGCGGAGGTGCTCCGGCGTCCGGCGAAAATAGGATCGATTCTATTTTTGCCGGACGCCGGAACAGAGGGCGGCGCACGGCGCCGCACTGCCGGAGCACGGCCGCGGTAGTGGAATTGCTCGATTGACTACAACGGGACCGATTTTGCTCCGGCGTTCGTGTCGGAGCGGAGCGGAGGTAGTGGAATTTGGGGGTAACCAAGCGATAAACAGTGAAGGGGTAGAGCTGCGTGTCCTCTTCTTCAACAGAAGAAATATTAAGACGATGAATCAGAAGTCTTATTTTTAAAATCAATTCTGAATTTAACAGAATATTTGGCGAGGTGGTCGTGCGTCACCTGGTGCAGAGCAGTGATGCCGTCAGCGTTGGAGCAGTTGACGATATCCAGCATGCCCTCCCCGTTCCTAGTTTTGGTCTGTTTGGCCTCCTCCAGCATCGCCTCAGCCTCCTCCGTGTCTCCATTTGCACACGCAGCCAGAAACTCAGCAGCTCTGTCAAATCTCACACTCTTCCTAAATCTGGATAAAGACAACTTTAATTAGTTCACCAGTAACCAGTTTGGCTACTTTTACCCACATTTAGCTCATTTTTCAGGGCTGCAGTGCAAAAAACTGGCAACACAAGCATGTTTTATAAGAGATTTCTAAGAACCTTTTTTTTAAAGGTTTAGATTTCCACTGAGACTGACTTTTCTCAACTTTAAAAATAATGTTAAAGACCAAGTTCACTTGTTTTTTTAAAACACATTTGCAGTGGTCTCTAGTATAAACAAAAGCCTTGCGAGTCGATCTCTGTAAGGAAAAAAGCTCTGGCGCTGCCGTTTCAGGAACTAGAATTGAGCTAGAACAGAGGGAAGCAGAAGACGGCAGAATTTGGAGTCTTACTTCCTGATATCCGGACATCTCACCCCTGATTGGCAAACAGCTATGTGACTACCACCGACTCTGTATGCGTTGCAATGTAGATGTTTTAGCACCACAAATAAAAGAATGAAGGAGTTGTGCCATGTTTTGGAGTTGCTAATGCTAACAATTAGCTTCCACTAATCAAAATGTTCTCTGCCATTTCCTGGAAGCTAAATCAACAAGAAGACTGTTTTCACGTTTAGCCTACACTCAGTGACTGATCATGTTTAAAAAAAAAAAAAGTAAAAAACTGCCTCAGTGAACTTGGTCATTAGTCTTTTCAAAAAGATCTGCCTAATATACTAGCAAACACACAGGGTCCTTTTAATCTTTAGCTGACAATTAAGTGTAAAACAGACATTTTCTACGTTTGTTCTCTAGAAAAAGCATAAACTCAAAGACGAAAAAATTTGGCATGGAGAGAAAGTCAGATTTGGTCATCCAAATCATTGATTCTCAGGCCCACAACATTAAAATCTCAGAAAAATTGTGACTCCAATTATACTATTTGTCACTCTATACAAATATTACTCTATACAAACAACAAAGAGTCTGATCAACATTTATAATATTTTATCACAGCTACTTTATTCCGAGGCAACATCAAAGGCTAATATGCCACCGCTGATCCTTTGAACAATTTTCTAAGACATTTCGAATCCTGGAGATCTTCTCGAAAACTCTTAACTTTATGGAAATAATAACAGCAGTTGGGGCTGGGACCCCACTTTGAATCCTGTGATAATAAAATAGCTATCAGACAAGGGTGAAATTATTCTGATACTTCTTTACATTGATATTTGTTACCGTGCTCTTGCTTTGCTTGTTTTTAATCAGTGTTTGGGTGTCTGTTTTTATTATTTGGGTGAGAATCGGAACAGTTTGCAAACCACTGATCTAAACTGAAATGTCTGAAATCAACACATGAATGAGTCCCATCATTCCTCTCGTTTAATCTGCTCAGCAAAACACAAACACCCTGTTAGGTTCATGATGAAAACCAACCACAGCAAGACCAACACGAACAGAGTAACACACTCAAAAAGGGACCGGCTGTGGGATCTTCACCACTAAGGATGGTTTGGAGTTGGTAAGATAAGTCCATCAAACATCTGACACAGAACCAGACTCATGAATCCTCCTTGATTTGATCATCTACTGTCATGTTATGTTATCATTAATGGGTTCTTTAGCATCACCTTGTTGGTGCTAAAGCCCTATTTATTTTGTTTTGTGTCAACACAAAACTGGCTCATCCCTTGAGTTTAGGAGTCTTATGTATAACTGATTGGAGTTAAGTGGCCTAATCAAAAATACTATCCATCTGAACTGGGTCAGGCACGAGCTGAGGACTGGAACTGGGTGAAAAGCTCTGCAGTGAAGATAATGAGCCAGACTTGGAAGAAACGAGGGTTAAAGATGATGTAGAAGGGAAGTGGGGGCCACAAAATGACTAAATCCGCCCCTTAAACAGCTGTCACCCGCTGTTTGTTAGTGCTACACTGATCAAAAACAAGATGTGCTTAAAAAAAACTGCACAAATAATAAATAACAAACACAACCGGAGGTGTAAACAATTGCTCCCTGACAGAGATCAACAGAAGATCATACAGGAAGCTTCCGCTTTCAAACAGACTGCTGATGGATAAAACGCCTGGTCCTCGACTGGTGGCGTCAGCCGGCTAGGGCATGGAGGTTTCCTCACCGCTGTTTCAGGTTGGGGCTGCTTCCATCTCCGCCCGCGGACTCCGGCTGCTCCCCCGGCGGGTCGCTCTGTTCGGCCTCGGCCTCTCCTGCGCCGTGCGCGGCATCGACCCGCCGCCTGCGCCGGGGCACGTCCGACGCCTTGTCGGTGGAGGAGCCGGTCCAGCGCTTTAGCTGCTCCCGCCGCTTGGCCTTCGCCGTGTCCCCCATGTATTAACCAGCGGAGGACGGTGTTTTAAAAACTAAAACAGGCGCTGGCGGGGGAAGACACACCCTCCATGTGTGTACTTTCGCTTCCTGGTTCTTGCTCCTGTTTCTGAAGGCGGCGAAGAGAAGAGCCTCGGCTCGTGCTCGTGAGCACCGGGAGCGCGTGAGTACGTCATCGCCGAAGCAACGTGCCCGCGCATTGTGCACACACTGCACTTCCTGCCATTGTGCTTTGCCTTGGCATCCCTAAACCCACACAAGAGGAGGCAGTACGGTTTCAGAGAGGATTCTCATGTTTATTCATTTATTGAGAGATCACAAACGCATGACCTTTATCATGGTCCTCCAGCGTTAAAAAATATCAAATAATGTGAATTGTTCACATTTGCATAGATAAATGTCATTTATTGTTTAATTACCATAATGTCCCAGCATTTATATTTGAAATGTTTGGGTGTCTGTTTAATTAAACGTTATTAAAACATTTTTTTTCCTCAAGTAATCTTGGTGCTTTTTGGGGGGTCCATGGTAGTGTGGGGGCCCCAAGCTGCCACTTAATTTGTGTATGCCTTGGGCCGGCTCTGGAAATCAAAACAATCAATGCTAACCCCATGAGCTCTCGCTGAGCGTAAACATTCCAACATGGACCGAGGGTCAAATTCCACATCACATTTTTTCTGCACCTCTGTGTGCTCACCCTACAGTCTGCAATCTATACATGTGAAGAACTGGTGAAGGTAAGGCTGAATTCTACTCTATATTCTGCACTGATTTAAAACCTTGTAGCCGTTTTACAAAATAGTGGGTAAGGGATTATTCTACCATGACTTCCCAGAACTGCTTCGGTATTCCTAATCCCTGAGGTTTACCTCTTTGGTCTTGTATCTGCTCATTTTCATGACTTTCCGCTTGTCTTTTCTCTTCTGGGACCAGAAAAAATAATGAAATTCAACAGTGAATCTTCTCTAAATGTCCACCTGCTACTTCCTTTTTTTTAAATCTCAAGAGTCTTTGGATGAAAAATGTGCACCACAATTTTGGTTCCCGTGTAAAATGAAAGCAAATTGTAAATCCTTTTAATTCAGAGGCAAGTTTAGAGCATGTCTGCATTGAAAACCTCAGCGGCGCACTCAATCCCACCCCACACCCTGACCCGGCTGGCACGAGAGTGGCTGTCTGAGGACACACCTAACTTTGACCTGGCAGGAGTGTGCGTGGGATCAGAGGAGACCGAGGCCAGACTGTTGTGTAAAACTCCTCTCATCGTGCTGGCAGGGAGCCCTTTCTTCACGGCAGTGTTCACCGAGGTGGGATGCACAGTGGACTGGGTTTACCAGGAAGGAGCTGAGATTGGTGGGCTTGATCACTTTCATATTCACAGATTATAAAGCAATGTTGTACGTTATTACATGGTGAAAAATATCAGAAGATGCTAAACTGAGATAATAAACAAAATTGTCTTCCCATTGTGTGACACATCAACAGGTCTGGATGCAGTCACCGTGACTGCTGTGGTGAGAGGCCCAGCGAGGTGCCTCCTCCTTGGGGAGCGACCGGCTCTAAACTGTCTAGCTCGGGCCTCCGGGATCGCCAGCCGCTGCTCACAGCTCAGGGCCAAGGCAAAAGCTGCAGGATGGCACGGGGAGGTGGCGGGCACCCGCAAGACCACTCCGGGCTTTCGGCTGGTGGAGAAGTATGCCATGCTGGTGGGGGGGGCATCCATGCACAGACATGACCTGAGTGGGATGGTGATGCTCAAAGACAACCACATCTGGGCTTCGGGAAATATCACACAGGTGAACAGCAATAAAATGAATCACCATGTATTTATATGGCGATGTTAAAAATGTGAGTCTACCTATCTACCCACCATCCATCAATCTCTCGCTACTTATCTGGGACAAAGGGAAACAGCTTATACAGAGAACCCGAGGACCCATCAAGCTTTAGCTCATCCTTTTTTGCAAACGTTCTGATCTGTAAAAGGTCAAAGTGTCACATGAGCAAGCTTCCACTTTTCTTAGCTTGACTTAAGTAAATGTTGCAAAAGGTCACATCTTGATCCTGAGTCAGACATCTGACACCAGCAGATATGAAACCGAATAATCAGAAAATACTTATCTGCTTGCTGCCAAAATCCTCAGTAATCTGCAGATGACTGTCCGCTGTCACAAGTGCAAGTAAATGAAAAACAATACAAACACAGGGCCTTGTTTGTTGTTCAGGCGGTGAAAGCGGCCCGGTCTGTGTGCGGTTTCAGCAGTAAGATTGAGGTTGAGTGTCGTTCCACAGAAGAGGGCAGGGAAGCAGCTGCAGCCGGTGCGGACATTGTCATGCTGGACAACTTTCATCCACAGGTGGGGATACGTCTAAAAGCAAAAACCCAGAAAATAGCTACAAGAAATGAACGCCCATCCACCTTCTCACCTGTAGGAGCTCCACACTGCAGCCCGAACCCTAAAGAACGAGTTCCCTTCTCTTCAGACAGAAGCCAGCGGAGGAGTCACTCCAGAGAACTTAGATTTATATTTTTCTCCACATGTCGACATCATTTCTCTGGGTTGCATCACGCAAGGATGCCCAGTGGCAGATTTCTCCCTCAAAGTTCAAAAATCAAGTAAAATGATGCACACAAATAAACTTAAATGAAGCAACAGCTGAACTGATGAATGAAAAAGCCTTTTAGTGCACATCAGAGCGTGTTTTACAGCCTGTTTCTTTGTCGTTTGCAGACAAATGAATAGAAACCCACCTAAAGGTTCATCTGAAGGATGTGACTGACGATGCTGTGTTGCTGGACGATTCAACAGAAAACAACCTTTCAAACAGGAAACAACCATCAGAAATAGACACTACTTAGAAAACATTCAATTCAATTCGATTTAAAAATACTTTATTAATCCCAGAGGGAAATTGATTGCTGTAGTAGCTCAGAATAATAATAATAATCAAGTTGTCAAAGAGTTGTTGTATACTACTGTCATGGATTTTATCAATATGTTTATCAATAACCCATTTCCTATAGTGAAGAGAGAAGGAGACAATAAACAACAAGTCAAACAGTTGTAACTGTGGCAAGATGCCGAAGCAAATGCCTCGAACATCTGTTCACAGGCTTTATTTATAGAGGGGTATCAGAAAGATAAGAGGTCATTGTGTGAGAGAGAGAGTCAGTGTGTGTGTGTGCGTGTGTGTGCGTGCGTGTGTGTGTGTGTGTGTGTGTGTGTGTGTGTGTGTGTGTGTGTGAGTGGGACAAGAATGTGTGTGTAAGTGAGCATGCAGAGAGGCATAGAGCAGTACATATTACCTTCAGTTGATTGGGTCAATGATCAAGAATTAATAAACACAGATTTTTCCATAACATTCCCTCCTGTTTATCTGAATAGGATGACCAACAAAAGGAAGCAACAAACTAAACAAAACCAAAGGAGGAAAATAAAAAGAAGTAAAACAACAAGGAATTTTATCCACTTCCATAACTTGTCACCACTAACTATGAAAGCTACATCAATCACAAAAATCGAGTAATAGAAAAGGGGTAAACCAGGAAAGGTGATCATCTCAGTAGTCATAAGTGCCAACGGGTTTCAAATCAATTAACTCACGACAAATGTAAATCAAAAATGATAAGCATCAAAACAAGAAAAATAATAAGTAAAGTAACAAACACTACAATCAGATATAAAAGGTCAGAATCAACACGAAAGGCAAACACAGCATGAGGTGCTGCAATCATATGTCTATTGCGGATTGTAACCTCAATCCTGTTAACTCGTCCAAAGAATCATTCCATACAAAGTTCAATACAAAACAAATCAGCAAAAAAGAACAAATATAAAAGATTATTCCAATGAAAAGTAATAAGTACAAATAAGGTAATAAACACAAATAAGGCAAACACAACCGACAATAACATCTTACAGCCGTACACAGAGATAGAAAATGGAATCAGCTAAGTCAACACAATTATAACCTTAGGAAAAACTATTTCATACATACTGAAATGAATTTACTGTGATGCACAATTCAACAATTTTATAGCAGTTCCTGTAAGGAGATTGGGATGGGTCAGCAAAACCATATAATACACAGAAAACATCAGTACAGTGTATTGAAACGTCAGGTGAATTTAGTTTAAGGCTCCAAGTTGCAGACAAATCTTTCTGTTAAAGAGGAAAAGAGAAGGTGTAATATTAATTTACGCAGCTCTAACTATGGCAGAGCTGAGGCAAACCAGGCGTTCTTCATCAAAGAGCTTGTCCATGGACTGAGAGTCCTGGTTGGAGAATAGGTTTGAAAGTCAGAGTCCTCTTCCGTTGATCAGGATGGTTTCAGTCTTACGTTGATAAGAATCTTGAAGTTCAGGTCTGGAGCGTAATAACGTAGTTCGGAACATGAAGCGCAAAGTTCAACTTCTCAATAGGAAGACTTCAGGGTCCTTCCGTGGCGTGTCGAGGCGGTTGTCCAATTGTCAGGGAGCTGATCTTGTCCCCGAAAAGGTCCTACAGGTCGTTGACCGTGAAACCAGTTCTAATTATAAAAATAATATTTCAAATCCACATAGATTCAGTGGGGTAAGGTCACTTCAGAGCACATCAACAACGCGCTTCTCAAACAATGTGTAAAATTTTTCAACAGGAGATAAATACTGCTAAATTAAAGCTCCACAAGTGAATTTGGACAGCAGAATTATCCAAAGAAAATAAAACTCAGTATGTTAAATTGAACAACAGAAATAAAACTCATTTGTCACGTAAAGACAGTGACCGATCAAAAATAAAACGACTGATGGTGTTCCTAAATACACACAACCCTAAAGGTGCTTGAAAAGATGGTAACCGTTTCAGGAAAGGAAAAGATGTTCTAAACAAAAGAAAAGAACAAATAAAGAAATAATTCATAATTTACAAAAGTGTACGTTGTATAAAAATGGTTATACCACAGGAAACTAGAAAGTGCTTGGGGAAGAACCCTAAGTAGCTTAAGGGTCATGCTGCAGTCCTTTTGTAGTTCTTGAGCGTCAGCCTGAGGAAGTTTGCAGCTTCAAACGAAACGTAGCGGGAAAACAGGTAAACAAAACTGCTCTGTGTTTTAAAAAAGAACTACAGCGTGGAATTAGAGATACGACACAGCAAGAACCCACCTAAGAAGCTTAAGGGTCAAGCAGAGGAGTATAACTAAATGTGATAATGAACAACTAAAGGATTTATACTCAGAAAACAACAAAAAATAAACAAAAATAACAAAAGTAAAAACTACTAGATGCATATGTAATCAGGTCATTCTCATATTAATGTGACCATCAAATAACAGGTGTCAGGTCACCAGGCTACTGATCAAATCTAAAGGTCATTTAGGACAAGCGTCATCTCATAATGCTTGTCTAGCAATAGCAAAACAATGATGAAGTCAAGGGCGAGAGCTGTCTGATGAGCTGCTGCTCTGTCCTTGTTGTACTAAGGAGGTGATAAGAAAGTGGGAGCTAAACTGCTCAAAAGTAGGGGCAAAATAAAGAATTTGTAAAAACAACAGAAAGTATTCACTAACCTACACAGAAGGAGTTCAATATTAAATCACATACATATTTAATTTAGAAATGATATGGAATGGCTAACACAAGGTAGAGGTATGCACATAACTACTATACTCTTCATAATTATTAAAGAACTAGGCTCTGATCATAAATCAGTGCTACTCAAGTCATGGGCACTAAATCAAGGATAACTTCAGTCATAATTGGGGAGACTTGTTTAAGGCTCATTTGTTAGGAAAGTCCCAAAGTTGTGAATGGTCAAAACACATGGTTCTTGTAGGAGTCTGACCTTTGAAGAAGTCATATGATAACAGCAAACTAGATAAACCATTGTATCTAGAAATCTCAAATGGCAAATGTTTATAAGTAGGGGTGTTCCAAAAAGGGTAGTTCACAATTCGATTCGATTTCGATTATGGGAGCTTCGATGCTTCGATTATAATGATTTTTGGTTCGATTCGATAACTGGTGCCACGATTCTTCGATTATTGACATTTTTAATGCTTTTTCATACAAGATTGTCTTCTTCTTTATCTACATTTGTAAATAAATAACCTATCAATTAATTCAGTTCCTCTAAAACTACTCTCTGTAAGTAAATACATTTTTTTAACATTTAACTATTTTTCAAAGACAAATTCTTATTTTATGACTGTATGACGTGTAAATATTTGCACTTTGACCAACTTACCTTCGATCAGGGAAAGCTTTACTTACATTAGTGTCCCCTCCATTGTTGGGAAACACTGAAAACAGGCAAGCCCTGGATTTAATGAGGTAATTAATTCAAGTAAACAAGATTTTTACTTCCATCAAATTTATTTAATGGAAACTTCATGAGTCTGGCATATGATAACATTACAAAAATGCTGCCATACAGATCAAAAGTGCATTCCTCAAAATAAAATAATTCAGCTTATTCAGTCTGGAATATAGGTAACAGAAGAAACCTGCTATATTTGAAGGTAATATGTTGCATTTTTTCAGCACAAAAGTGCATCATTCAACTGAACATATATTCAGCCTGGAGCTTCAGTACAATGAGGCGAACACAACAAAATAGAGCAGAGTGACACTCATACTCATCTCAAACGTAACTGTCCTCCCATACTCCCTCCCCTCCCTCTTGTCCCCCTACATCCTCCTGTTGTGTGAGATGGGCAAATGTCAACATGGTGCTACTTTGACTCTCACTCATCTCGAGTTTGAAGAACGTGACTCACCAACTTCCACCCGTTCTTGTCCGACGCGAGAACAAAATGCGTCGTTACAGTAATGAAGGATTTGGTGGCAACCGATGTCCATGCATCGCATGTGAGCGCTATCCCGGTTGTCTTCTTCATGGACTCCAGAACGTTTGCTTTGGTTTCCTCATAGAGGTGGGGGACTTCTTTTTCTGCTAAGTGTTTTCGGTGAGGAAGTTTATAGCGCGGCTTCACGGTGCGCACCACTAACCGAAACCCCCTGTTGTTTACTACTGAATACTGGCGTAGATCCGTCACAATAAAAGTAACTATTGCTTTTGTAACGCTCCTCACCTTCTCTGAGTTCTTCAGTAGTTTGGAGACTAGGGTTGTCACGATACTAAAATTTCAAACTCGATTCGATACTTGAAAAAAAACTCGATACTCGATTTCGATACTATTTAAAAACACCAATTTATTGAACAAGTTTATTCAAAAAATAACATTCCTCAATTTATATTGCAAAAATTAAATGTTAAGAATTAAGTGTATAGAGTGCTTAAACCTGTCAAGTATCAGCATTTATTAAAACGTGCATACAAAAACTGGCGAAAGTTATCACCCGAGTCAGAAGCATGTGTGCTGCTGAACGTAACTGTGATGTGGGGATCGGGAACTACTGACAGACAAGCAGGCGCTAGAGGAGTGGAGGCACTGGTTAGAGGGTGCCAAGGAGCCATTCCTTGTTTGGACTGACCACAAGAATCTCCAGTACATCACCAGGTGGGCTTTATTCTTTTCAAGATTTAATTTCACCTTCCATGCTTTCGTTCTTTTTTAAACACAGAAACAGTTTTGTTTACCTGTTTGTAGCTACGGTTTCGCCGACAGCTGCCGGCTTCTTCAGGCTGACGCTGATGGTGGCGCGTCACTTCCTTCTCCGTTTATCTGCGGGCAGCAGAGGACGTTGTCGCCCTCTACTGCCCGCTCTCCCCTCTCCGACAATGCAGTCCCATGCGTGGTCCAGCGTGTAAACTCCGTCGTCCCTGTTCATGGTCCCACATCCACGTCTCCTTATCTCGATTGCTTCCTTGATCCATCTTTTGTATTTTTGTTGTTCAGTGGTTATGATCCGTGTGTTGTCCCAGTCCATTATATGGTTTTCTCTTAAGCAATGTTCTGTTACGGCAGCCGTAATGGACTGGGACAGCACACGGATCATAACCACTGAACAACAAAAATACAAAAGATGGATCAAGGAAGCAATAGAGATAAGGAGACGTGGATGTGGGACCATGAACAGGGACGACGGAGTTTACACGCTGGACCACGCATGGGACTGCATTGTCGGAGAGGGGAGAGCGGGCAGTAGAGGGCGACAACGTCCTCTGCTGCCCGCAGATAAACGGAGAAGGAAGTGACGCGCCACCATCAGCGTCAGCCTGAAGAAGCCGGCAGCTGTCGGCGAAACCGTAGCTACAAACAGGTAAACAAAACTGTTTCTGTGTTTAAAAAAGAACGAAAGCATGGATTTACAAAGACACAGCAAGAACACACCTAAGATGTTAATTTCACCTTGTCCTACAGACCAAGGACCAAGAATATCAAGCCGGATGCCCTTTCCCGGCTCTACGAGGACTCGGC